TTTTATCCCACTGCGTGTAGAAATGAAATCTAAAACTATCATGATGCCAGCATAGTTTTCAACCAATAAAAGTAGCTTGCTGCAGGTAGATCATATGATTAGTAAATGGTGTCGTATATTCGCATCATTGTCATTTTATGAGAAGAAAAAAGGGAATAAAAGAATCGCATTCATATGTTTTAATACAGGAAATGATTTATTGTGCTAGTAAACAATGCCTTGTAAACGAGGAAAGCTGATTAATTTCTTCAGATTATGAACAAAATATAAGAATAGCACGATATAGAGTAATAGATTAATAGATCAATGTATCATTTATATAATTTTACGATATCAAGTGGAATTTTTGATATATCCTTCGTTTTGAGAATCCTGCCAACAAGGTCAATTTCGTAATTTTAATAGACTTTCTGTCAGGAGCGACGTAGTTCGTCCTAGTTCTGTGGTGCTTCGATGACAGTTTGCCCAAACAATCAAATTAATGGGGGAAATTACCGCTTTGCCAGCCAAACAATTCAGGCTGGGTTCATGGAAGAATTAATACATTAATACATCGGAGGTCCAAATCAACTGTCTTTAAACAAAAATGATAATAGAAAAAACTTCGTTGGTGCTGGGTCATGTTGATAATGAAGTCCACTCCTTTTTATTGATTGTTATTGAAGTGTATGATACATGGATCTTTTTAATATCTTAACATTTATCTAGATTCAGATACATCAACACACTTCATATACCAACTAGGCCTAATCATTCTTAGTAGGTCCATGGCCTAATACAATACCAACTGGTAAAGGTGGTTTCCCTCTCTCATGATGTATTGGCGCGTCCAAGAAGGCATATCAATCTCTTATATCCTTGACATTGGTTGCTATTGCTAGCCGATAAACGGATTTACCAGGGATTAATCGTTCTTTGGACTCTATATCAAGTTATTTCTGGGTCAGTGTTTGTAAGTTTGTCTTTACGTGACCTGGTCATTTACACGCCGTTCACGGTTTCCCAAATCTGATTGTCTATGCTTTGGTTATTTCATTATACTTGGTGTAATGTGTTGCATCCAGAATCGAAGCATCCCTACACCATTTTAATGTAAAACAATGGCATAAGGCGTTAACAAAAGATGTTGTATTGCTCTTTGCGACCGACCCCAAAATCTTGAAATCTACGGTCGACTTTAAAAAAAAAAAAAAAATTACCGATTTTTTTTTGAAAAAAATGTTTAATGAATAAAAAAGAATATGTATTAAAGCATTCAAAACTGAAAAATATCAGACCAAAGAGGGGAAAGAGGGAAAAAAAAGGGGAAAAACCCGACCGACCCATGTTTTGGCACCTAAAAAGCAATACAACATTTTTTTTTTTTAGGCCTGTATAGTTAATGCAAATTTACCGTAGTAACTGCGTCCGATCTTGTATTTTGAAATAGTTTGTATGAATTTTATGAACATGTCCCCCCAAAACGGCTACAGCCAACGAAGCAGTCGCAACGGCTCAAAAATCCAATATTGTTGGTATCGTGGGCTGTTGGTATACTGGCCCGTTAGATAAACCTGATGAAAGCGATAACTCATGATTACCCCTCCTGTTTGTCATAACAGATTTATGCTGTTTGACAATATAAATTCACGACTTTACCTGAAGTTACCTTTACCTGAAGACACCCCCACATAGTATTTTTTTAAAGAAGGAAAGGAAAAATAAACAACAACAACACCCGATATGAAGCAGATAATTGGGATAATAGGAACTTATGATATGGTAAACCCACTATACTTCTAGGCCCTAGATACTGCTACTACTACTACTACTACTACTGAGTACTACAGACATCCAACAACAATGATGATTTTGATGAAAATGATGATAATGTTAATAATATGAATAATAATACTAATGATAACAATAATGATAAAAGTAATAATAATATTAATAATAATAATAATGATAATGATAATAATAATAACAAAAATAATAACAATAATAATAATTATCATTATCATAATGATAACAATGATACTACTATACTACTTCTACTACTACTAGTCTACTACTATTAATAACAACATTGATAACAATAATAATAATCAGAAGGATAAAAACAATACTAAATATACAGCAACGTGAGTAAAATCCAATCAAACTTTAATACCCGCAAAAAAGATTCATACAATCATGTAAATGTAAAATCGAAAGTTCTGCTGATTGTGATGATGATATAGAAGAGCCAATAAGCTATCATATTTTAGTGAATAGTAAATCGTAATCCAGTTAGAACCGTAGGAGTGTTATACAACACTGATGAATATATAAATGCAATTTAGAATAGTTCATTCGTATTACGTATAGGCCTATGTGCTTGATTATTGTGTACAGGGTGTATATTGCTATAGCCTATTTTAGTTATAGTGATATTCATGACATATTTAAAGGTTACAGTAAATAGACGGGAAATGAAAAAAGTTTGATATGAAACATGGAAAAGATAGAGTGGGATAGAGAGAGGGGGTAGATAAAGATAGATAGAGAAAGAGTGTGGGGAGGGGGAGCACGCACACTTCATACAGGGAGTTCTTCGACTCTTGTAAACTGATTTTTTTTTTGTGTGTGTGGATTATTTAACGCATTTACAATTCTTTACTACCCATTTCCCCTATTTGTCTTCTTTGGGGTATATAAGGAGAGAGAAAGAGAAAGAGGGAGAGAAAGAAATAGAGAGAAGGAGGGGGAGGACTAAGGTGACTGAGAATCGGTCCAATGGAAATCTATAACTACACATGCTGATTAATCTACGGGGGAGGAACACGAAAATAAGAGAATAATTTCCAATTCATATCGAGAACCGAATGATTTACCCCCAAAAAAGGAAAAGAAAGAAAAATGAAAGTGATAAAGAATGATTATATTTTGAAGCGCGGTCAAGTGCTTAATCAGGGATCCATGTAGCCGTGAAATTGCCCGTCGTAGACTGCACTTCACGCCAGACGGAGAACAAGTCCAACTCTCTGATTAAAATTTCATATTTTCCTACCCGATTTTCCCTCTTTCATTCAATAATTGATAATATTCGACGGAGTCGGAGCAAAGCCATCGGTTATCGAATTGGATTCTTATGTCTTTCTATTTTCATACCTGTTTACAATAAAATCTCTTTGTTTATAAACTTGAAGCATGCACGTCATACAAGTAGATTGTTTTTACATATTAGTTTTTGTTAACTATAACTGCTTAGAGTAAATTTTAAAACTAATAAGAAAGAACGTAAGAAGAAAATACATCGACGTATCATGTGCAGGTTTAGAGACATTTTTTAAACCAGAAATTTGTGTTCGGATTTTGGCGCTGTTCTCTCGACATTTTCTTGAATGGTATAAAATAAAGAAATATGCATTGTGTGACGTTTTACATGGCATCAACAGTTGTTAAAAAGAAACTTGGGAAAATATAGCGAAGGTGGAGGGGTCCTAATATTGTAACAATAATGATATTTGATCTTGTTCCACTTCAATTTAAATTTACACTTGAAATATTAGTTTTCTTAATTACGGCAGCTGTTAATTTGCATATTATTTAACTTTTGTTTCAAGAGACATATTTTTCCATAAGTTTAGCAAATTGTTAAACGGAAACAAATCAAAATGCACTGCAAGGAATTTAGATAAATCATATTTTTTCAAGATTTGGTGTAATTTTTAATGGATTAATTTGTCAATTTTCTGTATTAGAGGACATCACTGCTATTTATGATGTATATAATGAATGGTAAAGAAATCTAATACTGTATAATAATTATGGTAATCGACATGTGTGAATGTGTCTTCGTTTGCACAATGAATGAACGTGTTTGGGTCCAAGTTACAGTCTGCATCATGCTTTTACAATTATGTTTCGACCCATCTGTTCATCTTTGCCATTTTATATTTATCACGCTTCATTCTTATCAACACTAATTTGATTTTTCTCTTCTTCCCTCCTCTAGTAAACAAAATTACCATGGTACACGGTTTTTTGGCCACGGTAGGTATATAAGGTACTACATTCGGTAGTACCATTACAATTATTACGGTAAATTAATAGAGCCACGGTACTGACTGTAGCATGATAGTATTGTACCATGGTAATATGGTAGTACCACGTTTTTTTTGCAAGGGTAATTTCTTTCTTTCCTATTTATGATAAACATTTTTCTTACTTCTCGCGCTCTCTCTCTCTTTCCTTCTCTCGTTTCTTCCCTCACTCTCCGTCTCCATCCATCTCTCTTTCTCCCTTCCATATCTCTCTTTAACTCCATATCCGTCTCTCTACTAATCTTGTATACACAGCATGATACATGTATATGTACATCATGACGGTTCTGAAATTCATTATCTCTTGCTATCTCGTTTTCATTTTGGGGATCAGGTGCACTTTTGGAAAATGGAATAATCCGCGATATATGTTTTTTTTATACACCCAATACGCTATATCATAATATTTAAGGGTATTTTTTTTTCCAATTTACTTTCACAAATCAATCACAATACAAATGATACATTGTCCAATTGAATAATATTGAATTATCAGCCTCTGTAGAAACTCTGATTTAAAAAAATCAAAAGTTTCCAAAACAAAAAAAATTGTGTCAGATTTTTCTCCCTTGAAAGCCTATAACTAATGTCACTTATTGTTTCATCTCTTCCTCCACCCGAAAGTTTGTAGCTACCAGCTGTATACGCGTGATTTGCTTAAGAAGACTTGTTTAAGATTTGTTTAAGAAGAAAGATTAATGTTATTTCATGAATATTAGAAAACAATGAAGCGAGTCATATCAGTCTAGTTGAACATTATTTCAATGCGTCGATTGCCATTTTGAGGTTGAACAACATTTTATAAACAGGCAGAATGATCAATAATGCTCTGCTGCCCTCTTCGTCCATGTCCAGGATATGTTTACAATTATTTTTGCGATCCAAAAACGGAATCGTCAGCCACCAAAACTCTGGTAAGCTTAGCTGAGCTTAAAAACTTGAAACTTGAAACATTAAGCAGCATTACAGTATTACGTAATGTTGAAAGAGTTGTATGTTTTGTTTATAGTATAATTACTAGCTGTTTTATACACCATTGCTACTTTGTTAGTGACTCGTCGCGCGAGTCTTTTGACTTTTGACTCGAGTTCCGCTGGCCTCGGCTCTGGCCCTGTTGTTCAGGGAAGTTCGCTCGGCCAGCACTGGTATACTAGTGCTAGCCATACCACTACCAATACCAGTGCCAGAGCCACCCACTTGCCGCTGTCCTCCAGCGGCCGCAACCGCGAGCCAAGGTAAACTTCGATCGCACCTTTTTGAATAGACACTATAGTACTCTGTGGGCGGGGGACCAGTAGCTCCATGTTTGATTTCCATTTTTGATGGCTAAACTTTTAGAATCAGAAACTAATTGTCTGGTCCTCTGCCTGCACATAGAAATTTAGAATTATTTTAATAGCATAGATCTAGGGTAACGGTTTATCTAGGCAATGCCAGAGTTAGTGTAAGGTTTTGAATTAGAATAGAGATGGAAAGATTTGAAGTTAAGACACAAGGATGGTGGAGTACTTGTCATGATTGTGCAGAAAGAACACCACCAGGCACCAAACAGTAAAATGCAATCTTTTCTTCCACATACATGTAGTCATAGAGACCTGGTCAGGGATCTGTAGTACTGATATAACTTGGACTTATTTTTTGCTAAACCGGTAAAATTCTCACAATATAAAAAGGGGAAAATGGAAAACTGTTGTAGATGTGAAGTTTTGATTGGATAATATTGAATTGAAGGGATGATCTTGTGCTTGTTAAGATATAATTCTTTCTTAATCATTCAAGGATCACCAGGGTAACTTTTTTTAATTAAATATATCTTGTGAGCACCATGGATGATGTAGTGACGGAGCGGAATATAATCTTACTGGGCCTAAATAACTACGCAATATGCTTAATTACAATACTAAGGGTCAATCCTACCATAGGCTGTAGAAGTAACTGCTTGAAGTAAGTCTCAAGAAGCACCGATGAGTGGAGCTCCACGAAGCTACGTTGAGATCCGAGACTCAGAGGAACACAGCAAACGGCATGTCGCGCGGTTGCAGTTCCAGTCCAAATCTAACCTACCCAGTATGGGATATGGCCAGGAAAACTACCGCGGGTGTCGCCAAATGCGGGACTTGCGCGCATATACCTGCCAGAGCCGTATTGGCTCAGGCTGAATCACTACAATGATATTTCTCCTTAATCATTCATGTTACAACATATTTGTGATGATTGATTAGATCAGTTTGACTTGTGATCTGAAATCATCTGACAATATTTCACAATTTTATACTTCTACTTCTACGTTGGAACTTGACAGGATCCATCGGTCAGGATATAACGTCAAGGTTCAAATGTCTGGCAAGGTGCTCTTGTGCAGTGCAGTCAGTTGGTGTATTATGTACGGAGTGCAAATAAAAACAATTCATTATTATTTCTGCAGTTTTCTGAGGAGCCATCATCAGTGGGTGATAGAAGCATTAACCTCCTGGAATCCAACATGGATGAAGATCATATAACATGAATGGAAGTACTGCTACATGTAGTCATGTGATGAGCCGTTGGGGGCATGTCACTATCACACTTGACCATGGAGCATGGTGATGTAATCGACATTGATGACCTCCTCGGGGAGTCATCTCCAGAGGTTAGTTCTGATACATACATACTTGAGTGCAACTCATAGTCTTACTTGGTACTTGGTACTTGGTATTTTCACTTAGGAAATAAAAATAGCTTTTGTTTTCTTCAAAAGACTTTTATTTTGAAGATATTATATATACATGTACTTGTTCAGAAAACGTTTATTGTGAGGAAATTTATATCGATTGCATTTAGTGTATGAATTGATATCAATATTTTAACTAATATGACCTATTGTTACATTTAAATACACCATTATACTAGTAAAGCATCTCAAAATGATGGGAAGCCTTTTGAAAATTGATACATTGAAGAAAAAAATGACTGGTACATGATATACTGAGGAGGCAAGTTGGCTCAGTTGGTAAAGCATCTGCCTGTCAAACCAAAGGGTTCAAATCCCACCCAGGCGGATGACTGAAGCCTGCGTTGTGGGTTAACGTGCCCCTCCCCTTGTTTCATAGACGCAGGCTATGTTAAACACTATGTGAAAACACTGCATCTTACATCTGCAAGAATCTTCAGTGTTGAAGGAGGCAGATTATCCATAAGAAGAAGAAGAAGAATATGTCACTGATTTATAAATATTTTCATGTTCACTTTACCTACTAAATTTGAGCTTGTGTCGTTTCTAAAAATTCAAAATGATTAACCTTCATGGTTATATATTTAATTTGACAGCAGTCATCCCTTCCCTTAGAAGAGTACAACCTTGATGACTTCTTAGACACTGCTCTACATGAAGGGGACAATGGAAAGTCTGGCAAACAATATTCAGGTAAAACAGGGTGTATTAATTATGTTGAATGCAGTTGGTCTCTATATATACTTCCTGATTTAGTCCTACATGTATATATGATTTATGGAAGTTGGTTTTAAACAAGTGAGCTGTCAAAGGTCCTTAAAATTCATCTGATATATATACTCTTCATAAGAACTTAAATTGTAAAAATTTTGGTGGTTCATTTTATGCATACTTCTGAGTAAATTTTTAAAATAATTTTTACTCTTGTATAGTCACGTAAATAAATATTTTAATTTCAGCATCATTGATAAAATAGAATTGATGTATAACCTATTTTTTTTATTGAAACAGGCAAGTCCCGGCTCCATGCTCACAAAAGCAAAAGAAATCGATCTGGACAAAGTGGCACAGAGGAAGGAAAGTTACCTCAATACCAGCAGGATGATGCTACCGAGGTGTTCCTAGAGTCTCTTCTGAGTACCATCAAGCCATGTGGTGACAAGAATGACGTCACCTTAGACATCAACTCAGACGAGCTGAGGAAATTCATTGCTGAATATCAGGTACATGATGGAGAGTTGGTCACCATACAGCTGGATGGGGCAAGGCGGCCAACCGAAGACGGGGCCTCGCTCAGTTCAAGTGCTTCAGAGTCACTGGACAGTTCACTCTCCGGAGAAGGAGTGGGTGGGTCGAAGGTCAAGCAGAATAAGAAGATGATGAGAGGAATGAGGCTTCTGGTTGCCAATCTCCTCCGAAGCAAGACAACGGCCATGGCCAGCCCGACACTGGGGAGTGAAGACGAAAGACAGAAGGAGGTACGTCGGCAGAAGCTCAAGGATAAGAGCAAGCGGAGGGAAGAGAAAGTCTTGATGAATCATAGTAGTGATGGACAGTCATCTCAGAATGATGTTTCTTTAAATCACACTGCACCTGCTGGATTGAACAATCCCACCAAGATAGATACTACTGCTGCTGTGTGTAATGCAAGTGGAGTGAATCCAAGGAATAGCCAATGTACTGACAGACATGAAGCGTATGCATCCAGAACAAGTGAAGAAGTAGCCAAGGTCTTTACATTTGCAGTTGAAGAGGACAAATCGAGTTTGGTAAGAAAAACTAGGGAAATAATTGTATTTATTTGATGACTTGGTAGGAAAAAAACCTGTAAAAACTTAATGTGGAGTGGAAGTGGGTTAAAATTTGATAGCCTGAAAATACAGACATATGAAATGATTTTATTGAAAGAAATAAATTCATAGTAAAAACTGATTGTATCAATAACAATCTAAATTTTTAAAGAAAATCAGTATTAATCTTTATGAAAAATTAAAAATATAAATGCTATTGAATCTACCTCTTTAAACACGATTCCCTAAACTGTTTTATGTTGTTGCTCTTGTTTGCTAATGCAGAGGGTAAAATATATTCTATATTAAGAGGGGGACTACAATTTTATATTTTAAATACCTCTATTAATAGGAACACTATCTTAGAAGCAACCCTAGCGTCAGGGACTCACGGGATTGTCATGGTAACATGCTCCTGCATGTCCTGTGTCGTCATGGCAAACTTGAGAGCTTACAGTGGCTGGCGTCTGGACTGTGTGGACATCACGTCAGTCTGGAAAATAATAACTGCTTCACACCAACTGCCATTGCTGTCAAAGTAAGTGGTAATTGGGTTTTAATCACACAATGAGGCCTAAAAAAGAACGATGTTGAATTGCCCTTTAGGAGCCAAAACATGGGTTGGTCGGTCAGAAATTATTTTTTTTCTTTCTTTTTTTTCCCCTCTCTTTAGGCTGATATTTCTCAGTTTTGAATGCTTAAATATTTTTTTAAAAAAAATTTAAAAGCCGACTGCAGATTTCAAGATTTTGGGGTCGGTCGCAAAGGGCAATACAATATCTTTTTTTTTTTAGGCCTGATGAAAAGTATTATTTAGTCTTTACAATTATGGTTATTGATATACATTGGTGTCCTTTTTTGTTTGTTAATTGTGATTGATTTCAACCACACTGAATTTTGTAGTATCACTACAAGCTACTGAATATTTTTTTGTGCAATGTATAAAGTTATAACTTTTTATAAACAGTCCTGATATGTAGATTATTACAGATGTGTCTGAAAAATCCTGTTGTCAATTGAATTATCTTATTCTCCTGAGCTCAATACAATAAACACCAAATATTGTAGGTAGTATGTTATACAGTTATATTCAAGAAATCAGAATATTCTTGTTTTACATTATGGCAGAATACTGCTGTTTTGAGTGTTTCATTAACCTTTAGTTGTATTTCTTATAGTTTAACAGACAGAGTGTATCGAGTGGTTGTTCATTTCTATATGAGAGACCTAGATTTTGTTTGTGAATCGTGATTGATGGTAACAGTTTGGCAAGCCAGAATGTATAATTTATTGTCCCCTGTATTTTCATACAGTATGGCAGACTGGATTGTGTTGAGTGGTTGATCAATGAAACCAAGGCCAAAGATGAGCTTCATTCTCAAGATAATAGGTGGTCCTTGCTTCATATAGCATCCCGTTATGGACAGGTGAGATAGTTTGTCATGTAATCATTGTCAAGAGTAACCTTTGAATTGTCAAGGGATTTTGGAATGGGAACCTTGAGAGAAAATATGATGCAACATCTATTGAAATCTATTAGACCTTGCATATGAAAACTTGTATGGTTAAATGTATTTGGTTTGACATAATGCATTTATGCTCATCATCATCAAGTGGTACATGAAGGTCTGTTACAGACATCGGCAGTCAAGGCCCTCCATTTCTGTCTATTGTCTGCTATTCTCGGAAAGCTGATAGTGCTGATTTCATTTTGGTTGCTCATTTTTTTAGGCTTTGCATACTACATGTATGTTTTTCTTTTCTAGATGATCTTTTTTGATATATGACCAACAATTTGCATTTGCCTATTTCTCATTGTATTGATGAGTGATGGTTTACTCTTGCTTTTGTGAACACTTCTTCATTTGTTATCTATTCTGTCCATGATATATTGATAATTATTTCTCAAGGTCAGGTCTATGTAGCCTCTAATCTTCTTTCAAACTCTTTTTTTTTTATTGTTTCTTACATGAAATATTGAATATGTATTGAGAGTTACAGGATTATTTTGATTGAAATCCATGGCAGGAAAAGATATACTGTTTATGCTTGCATTATAAATACAGTTATTACATAACATGAGATTATATTATTGTACCCAATTTCGTACCAGGAATCATGCTTGCGATGGTTGCTCCAGTTTATGCAAGATACCAGCATCGATCTTGACTGTCTTGATCGTCATGGCAACTCGCCTTCCCACCTTGCTGCTCGACATGGTCACCTGACATGTCTACAGGTATGTAATCAACGCTCCATTCTTATCATGATCTAGTGACATATAAACATAATCATTCTGTAACAGCATAAAGGATGTTCTTACTGGAGAAAAGTTTGTTGACCTTGCACTGTCCCTGTTCCTGTAAAGGTAATGGCAAACCTGTTTTCATCCTTAATTAAATGTTATTGAACAATGAAAATGTTTCCCTTCTGTTTACCTACATGTACGCAGACTCTTGTGGAGTTCACCTGTGATGTTACCATGGTGAATGGTAAGAAGCAGACTCCTTGTAGCCTAGCAACCAAGTATAATCACAACACCTGTGCTCAGTTCTTGGTTGTGACCGAGACGTGTGTCTCACTGTCTGATCAAGTCACTCAACTCAGAAGAGACCTCAGAGAGTAAGTTCATTTCTGCTCTTCACTCTCACAGATTTGTTAAGGGATGAATAAATCATTATTTCTTTTCCAGAAAGGCAACACTGATATTTGACTGCTTTACTATACCAAAGAAAAGTCACACATCTGAAATGGAAAGATGAATGAATGTTAATGTTACAAAAGTGTTGAAAAGTTGTTATTTCAACTCCTTACGTTGCATTCTAATATTTTCTGCATTTCTTTTTAAACAATCCAATTTGACATACAGTGTATATAAAAAATAAATTTGTGAGACATACCTCAACCTCTATAATGAGAAATCTTTTCTTGTTTGATTTATAGGTACCACCAGGAAAAGGTAGAGCTGAAAGCAAGGCTAGATGATGTAAGTTCTTTATGTAATAAATTTCTTTGCATGGGAAAAAATATAAATACAAACAGAAACATCTTATTGAAATATACTATTTTCTTATAACATTTTTTCCAGTAAATTGAGAATACTTTCAATACTATCTTGTGGTATGCATGGACAATATCTTGTGTACAACCTACATGTAATGTGTGAAAGTTAGTCAAACCTATGGGAGTGTATGTGGCCCAGAATTGATTTCTTGCATGTACCTGAATACAAACACGAACTTGTCTATTGTCCATAGGCCATACTATGCAGCAAGGCCCTGGTGCGCATGCATCCCCGGGATACCACCCAACGGATAGAACAGATCCAACTACAGTATGTGGATCTGACTAATCTCTTGGTGAGAAGAATTGATGAAATGCATCAAAAGAAAGAGAAAGAACCGGCTCACAGGGAATCGTCATACGCAGAGAGTGGTAATGAACTAGGGTAAGTTTCTTCTCTAAATGTTTATCAGTTCAAATGCAGTGTCACAAAGCGAATTGTAAAAATACACAATATTTGATCATATAACATTTTTTGTTATTGAATATGAACATGTTTTTTGCTCAGTGACAGATAAAAAATAACCGCACCTAGCTTGGTTATTAAACTTGATATATATTCGAAATTTGTTCTTGTAGTCTCTATCATAAAACATGTTTTCTCCTTTTGGCCATAAGATTCTAAATTCTAAGACATTTTTCATTCATTGATGATACGTTTTTCCCTGATGAATCATGAATCCTGATTATACCTCTGTAGCAGCCAGACCTTTAGAAATCTCCATTGAACTTGTTGATTCTTGTACAGTGATGACGACATAGCCTTGTGTAAGCAGCGTGCCGAAGAGCTCCAGGACTCTTGCTCCTGGCTCCTGGAGGAGGAGCATGCTCGTCAAGCATCCAGTCAGGAGGGAGAGCTCTCCAGGATCCAGGACACTCTGCACAAACTCCAGCAGCCTCAAGGGTTGCCAAGCTGTGGCGGTCAAAGGTCACAGCTAGAGGATCATTACAACTCAGAGCCTCTCAAAGACATGCGGTGAGTTCTTTTCAAAGATATCTTTTCAAAACAATTACAAAGAAAGAAATTGTACGTGTTCATTGTCCAAGGTTTATGAAGTGTTAATTTGATGATTCCTTCTGATAGAAATTAGTGATTTTTGTCCATGATAGCACCATTACCCCTTACAAGATATTTGAATATTGACTGTACCCATGCTTTTGTTCTTTGTTTTGTTTTCCAAAGAGATTAAAAAGATTACAAAGAGAATGTCAGCAATGTTTTAAAATATAATACCCTTTCATTTTGTCTGCAGAAAACGGCTAAATGAAGTGAGTTTACTCCGAGCTGCAAGTCCATCTGTAATGAACGTACCGCTCTCTGAGAAGCAAGACAGTATTAGTCTGAGCAGCAGTTATACGTCCCTCAGCTCATCATCATCATCCCTCTCTGTGATGACGAATGGTCCACTGGTACCTTCAAGGCACACACTTCAGAAACAAGTATCATGGGAAGATCAACGACATCATATGGGTGCATCAAGTGATGTGAATGGAGGGACGAGCCATAGTGAAACTGGAAGCTCAGCCTCAAGCGTAAGAAGTATAGAGCAAGAAGATCTGGCGTCCAGAGTGAAAAGACACTTGAACGATTTAATCTCAGGGAAAAGTAATAGTCAAACGGATGCCAAAACTTGTCAGTCTTCCCCAAATAATCAGTATTATACAAAAGATGAAAGAGAATATCGAACACCAACCAACCCTTCACCGACGGATGGTGTGCCAGCAGCCAGGTTAAATGGATCTAATACTGTGCCATCCACCAGAATCAGTACACAACAGTCATCACACATGAAACAGAATCAAGTAAAGCAGTCTCTTGATGCTCTCATGAAGAGTACTCTACCAGACTTAATCAACTCTGGGGATGCTAAGACAGGTCAGGTTTCCCCGCAGAGTGATAGCAAGCTATCGACCTCAAGCGAAGATCTCTCCCATTCTTGGCATGGTGGTTCAGGTGACCAGAGTAGAAATGGTAGACCACTCCTCTCTAGATTAAGAACATCTCATTCTACCGACTCTGCAGTGCAAAGTACAAATAACATGAAGCATCAAAGGCATAGCAGTGAGAATAGCCCACTGAATATGAAACTATCGTCATCCATCAAGAGCCAAGATGATGAGGTTCTTCATAGGCCTTTATCGAGCAGTAGAAGCACCGTCTTGTCTATGCCAGTCTTCATGCGGAAGCTACGACCAACAGGACATGTTCCAGGAGGAGAGGTATCCGTTCACGTTGATCTGATAAACCATCATGATGACATGGAAGGAGAGGTTGATTCTTTCCTACCTAGACTCAACTCAGACTCCAGTCTCAGTAGCACCACGTCATCTGATGTAGTCTGGTCTGATGTTGATCACCAGGACGGTCCAGATGTAGGCCCTATGTACAAACGCAGGGCTGGGATACTCAATCGAACTCGCAGAACCGGAGAGGGTTACCGCAAATCGCGTAACCGTCACATCAAATTTGCTTTGGATGAAGACAACTGCCCCTCAAGCCCTAGCTCGGATGCATCCTACCATCGTAGAGATCTCTCTCCAATCTATGAGTCTGAATCCCATCGGCAGCAGCGTGAGCAGAATGCAGCTGAATTCCACAGTCCTGTGAACAATGCCTCTCCTTGTGAATATAATCCTCCTATGCTTGGTCATCGTGAGTACAGAGTTAACTTCTACAGCAGTGATGATGATGATTATGAGACAGAGTCACCTCTGCCTCAAGACAGTCGGCCCATTTCAGGATCTAACTTATCACATGCTCAGGTAAATATTGATGGGCTTCATTTATTGAAAGTATTCCAGAAGTGTCTCTTCATATAATTAGTTTCTCTATCTCCGTTTTCAATTTTCTCCTCTCTCTCTCTCTCTCTCTTTCTTTTTTTCTTTCTCTCTCCTTCTCTCTCTCTCTCTCTTTATATATCTCTCTATTTATATATATATATTTCTCTCTCTATCTCTTTCTCACTCTCTGTAATCTGTTCACTGCATTTTAATCTTAGATTCTATTCATAATTGATTGTTTGATCGATTGTCATTAATGTTACTGGAGTGCTAAGAATAAAGGCATTTGCTTTTATATTGATATTAAAAAACTTGTAGCTAAAACTCTTTTCTGATGGACTAGTTAGATTAGAATGAATGATTTATTCAAGGGCACTAGTCTTGTGATTTTGTCTCATATCTAATTCCTTGTTTTTAAGACAAGCTCTCTATCCAAGAGTCGTAAAATATCAAATAACATTATTCAGTAAAACAAGAAAGAAATAGGAAAAAAGAAGCGCAGCAGCGACTTTAGTATTGAAATCTTGCAATCATTTTGTTTTGTAATAGGATCGTCCAGTTGATGAGATTCTACAAGATTCTGTCCTTGATGGTCAGGAAGAAACTGACAAGTTTTGGTAAGAAGCAAATATTATTTCCTTATTTTAACATTTTGTTTTTGTTGTAAGTATAGTTATTTTGTTTAAGTTCTAGTTGAAAATACAAATTGAATAGTATATTTTCAGGATAGTTTCAGATTGTTATAACAATTGAAATATCTTTATTTAGGTGTTTGAAATGTTCACGCATTCATCTAAAAAGAAACCCCATTTCAAAGCCCAAAATCAGCGTGTAGGGTATCACTAAACCCTCTATACTGTACATACATGTAGTCTGAGCTGTCTGTTGATACAGCTAGGCCCTTCCTGGCTAGAGCTCTTTACAGTCAAACATATGAACACTGCTATATTCTATGTGACACAAGTTCTAACACATTATGGTACTTACACAGTATGGCCTGATGGATTTTCTCTGATGGTCTGTTAAAATATATTGAAATCTTTTTTGTTGAGTGTGGTTGTAATTGTAACATGTCCATATTAAACAAAGAACGTCATGATCTTGGGATCTGATGACCTAGATTTCTGCTTTATGTATATAGCAGAACCTTGACTTCCTGTGAAATTGCTGCCATAATTACTTCAATAATTATTGACAATATCTTTTGTTCATATATGCTACATGGTAGTTTTCAAAGTGCATTCACCTGCATACATGTATGTTTACGTATTTTTGAAAAAATTGAAAGGTCACTTTGGAAGGTCTTTACAATAATTTGAAGTAATTAAACTTCATGGGAAATGTGTTGCTGGTAAAGTACCAGTGGAATATAATGTTGGTATCCTGTTTGATAATTTGCCTACCTGTTTTGGGCTTGACAATGTGCATGCTCTAGTCTTTTGGAAGATGATTACTTACATGTTTGGAGTACAGTTTTGACTGATGTGATAAGAGTAATATAGTGAATATGATTATATTTGATTGCCTAAATTGAATAAGATTAAACTTAGTTAGATATACGTATAGGTTGAAAGTATACTTTCAGATTTTGATTAGTTAAGGATGGGACTTGCAAAATATGTATTTCATGAGAGGAAGAGAGAGAGAAAGAGAGATTTTGATGTCTTTAAGAATTTGTACTCTAAATTTTGAAAATGTACTTAAGTATGAATAGGGTTCTCATGTTAATTATGTATCAACAACTTTGGGGGATACTCTACTTTTCTTTTTATTCTAAGGCAGATTAATCTAGACTATTCAAGTACTTTCTCAGCAAAATGATTAAAAATATAAATTGTAAAACAGTGTTTCTTTGACGGTTTAAAAAAACAAAAAACAAGAAATGCTGTTCATTTTACAAGCTACACGTAGGTTGTTGTTGTTTTGTGATTGGATGTTCATTTATTGAGAATATTTACGCTTTTAATTTGTTATTAATTTGCATGATAAAATTGTGGTTCATGCCATTTCACACTTTTTAAAATTATTTTCATGAAGACATTTAGAAATATATATAACTTTTAAAAATATTTTGGGGAAATATAAAATAGAATAAAGTGAGATCTTAGATCCATGGTCCATAGCATTTCAGATCACCAGGGGTGGACAAGTTATTGTATTGCTACACTTGTACATATAGACTACAATCCCTCCGAGACTTATTCAGTCTTCCGGAGGTTGTACACGATTCTTTTTATTGGTGTGGTCAGGGAGGTTTAGATTCGCTTAAGATACCCCTTATACCGTTCATTGATTCTGCTATTGTTGAGAGCTTAACTCTGAAGCAGCAATTAAAGATTTAAGTCCTCACCTACATTCTTAGAAGGTGGATAGTACATTAGGTAGCCTTGTAGCTCCCTTTTATTGATTTTGTTATCTTGCTTGTAAGCTATAAAGTGTAAGCGCAGCTATTTCACGAAAGCTTTTTTCTGACTAAAGAACATTTTTTGTCTAATGTTCTGCTCTTAGAAGGCCTTGTATGTTATAATAAGGCTGAAGAAGAGTGTTAAAGTGTAATGAGAAATAGATTAACAGGCCATGCCATTGAGTCATTGAGAGACATTATGACAAGCATAGTAATTATGTTTTTCTTGTTTGGTACCTATTTCAAACAAAATCAATATTGCGCTATATTTGCCTGGAGCCTTGTTACAAACAATATAAAGGAATTTCTTCCATTTTCTTGAAGACGGTTTATCTTAGTAAAGCTACATGGAGTGCAAATTCCTTTTTCTAATAACTGTCTATCTTCTGTTTTTGAGAGTGTTCACAGGTTGCTTCAAGCATTAATCAATCACGTTGTCTATCTAAAATTGATTGTCACTAACCTCCATTTTTTCTAAAAAAAAAGTTGAACATTCCATTTCCATTTGAACTTTTGAAGAAGGACAAATTTACAGAATGTAAGAAAAGTAACATTGACATGGATGTATTTTCATATGAAAAGCAACTAACAATTTTTTTGGATTTTTTTGTTGCTATAATTCATGCGTACATGTTATGTATTTGATTACATGGTTGAATAATTGTAAGAGGACTTTGATCTTTGATGTGGACAGCTTACACAAAGGAACAGGATTATATTTGAAAATTAAATTGTTTGCTTTGTAATGACAAGAATGTCAAGAATGCTAAACTTTCACGGTCAATACCAACAGCGTACAAAAACATTTTGATTGCACTAAACAGTACATTTTACATGTACATGTACATGTATGTTGTTTGTATAAAACAGTGATTTCAATGTCACAATGAAAAAACTTTGCAAAGTATAGACGTGGGTTTATATAAATTAAATGATTGAAAAAACAAAGGCGTAGTAAAGGATGCCAATCAAACAATGAATTATACATGTAGCAGCATTTTGAGCCAGGTTTCATACAGATTTTCATGCATTTGTTTCACGTTTATGGAAGAAAAAAAAAGTATTTTTCACAGCCTATAATTTACTTTGAACTTTAAAAGGTAAATCTTGTATACTGGTAACCACTGGTAAGGACAGAAAGGAAATTCTCACAGAATCAAAATGAAAATTATTGTGAACGTTCAAAAATACATAAAAAAGTTACATATATGAATAGATTATATCATATATAAGCCAAACGATTTTGGAAGAAATGACCTCAGGAGCAACGTAAGATTAACAAATTCAGCTAGTCATCTTCACCCATTTCCATTTCCATGTACATGTATGTGCTTTCTGTTGAATTTAATTTCCAGTAAGTTTTGTGAATATATTGCTGGTCTAAAAACCCACCAATTGCCATATACTTTCTCTTGAAATGTAATTATATTATAACAAATAATCATAATTTGAAGCCAGTACTGTATGATTCAAACACATGAGAACAATTACAAAATTTTTAAGAGGAATCTTTAACATCGTATCCCAAACAACATGTTTATTCCCCAAATCTTTGGAATTTGTTTTTTGAAGACCCAGAGGCAAATAATTGATTTCCCAAACTCAAGAGGATGACACAATAGGTGTCAAGAAATTTGTGCAAAAACACTTCTGAAGTCTTCCTGTTTGTGGTTGAAACTCCTACCCAAGAATTACATCGCACTGTCTCATTTAAAATAACTGTAGGCCTGCTTTACAATTCAGTGGAATCATTTGCTTAGGGTTTTGTTTATTCAGCCTCCCATTACTACTCTATCAATTCTAGAATAAAAGGGGGTATACTGAGGGTGTATACTGAGGGTGTATTCAAGCTACCCACTGCCATTGTGAGGCTAGCATTCCATTGTTATTGAGTAGCCTAATCTGCTTTGATTGTTATTGAGGCTTGATGAATAGACTTCTTTTCTTTTTATTGAGTTTTCTATTCCTAGAGAGAAATAACTGTCAAATGTGAATACAATGACTGTGTACATAAGGGATGTAGAGGGAGGCAGAGGTGATCATTTACTCGCTAATTGCTTGGGGTCACAGAGTGCATATAATGCACGCTTGTCCATGTACATGGCATAACATGCATATCCAATGTAGAAATCTCTTTTCTTTCTGTAATTGTTCACATCAAGCTACCTTGAAGACAGTTGACATACAAATGTAGTTACATGTATTTCTTTCATTTTTTAAAGGAAACACTGTTTAGTTGTTAAATATAAACAATCCCAACTCACTTTCTACACATGAACTGTACCCTTGTTTCAATTTTACAGGCCTGATATACTTTAAAACTTGTAATAAGATAAATTATGTTTGACTTTTGACAATATACCGATATGTAACAATTCTTTTATTTTGTTATATATATATACATATTTTTTTTTTTTTTTAATTTTTAATTTTTTTTTTTTTTTTTTTTTTGGGGGGGGGGGTTCAATTTATAAGAAATCAGAAAAAAGCAGTTTCAAATTGATTACGGTAAGACTTCAAATTTATAGGATCCAAGTGTGCTTTGGGCAAATTGATTTTTGCTTTATCCTACGTTGTATTAATTGCATATACAGTGTATATAATTTTTGTTCCATCCTGGAAAAAAAGACTGTAACCCATCTCACCTACATGTAGAGATATTTTCCATGATATGTGGAATAGATTTGCAAATGTTTCAGAAAAAAAAAAGTAATTTGCAAATGAGATGTCATAGGATTTAGAAATGGTGAAAAAGAAGGAAAGCCCTTTTAGACTGTGAAACCTTACCAAAGTTCTTCTAAGTAGATAACTTAAATCCCTACACTTTAATCTATAGTTGCGGAAGAAGGCCCTTCAGATCAGATATTAATCTAAAGTAGTTTTACCTGAAAATCTTGGCAAGACGGTCAACTACCTCTACATGAGGTCCAAATCCCATGTGAAGGGCTTCTCTTTAAAGGTAAAGACCAGTATTGGAAACGCCCCACTTTCAAAAAATGAAATGGAAGCTCTCATTACCAATCATGTGAAAGAATATGTTTTGACTAATACATGATGATAAAAAATTTGCCGGGAAACCGCCTACTAATTCATATATTTGGTAAATCTGTTTCTCTCATGGTCTGTGAGAGATATAGGGTAGTCCCATATACATCTTTCTGTGTATAGTGCTTGTAACTTTACGAAGATTGGGCCAAATTTCTTATCATTTTGATGATTCCAGAACCTTGCAGATGCTAGATGCTAGATGATCAACCTTTTCTGATCGATTCCACAACGTTTCTTTCACAATGCAATCGCATGACCATAACTGGTCTTTACCTTTAAGAAATGGTCCACATTCATACACGGAGCAGCAAGTAGGCAAGGTGTGCATGTACATGTAGATGAATCACTTGAATGTGCAGTTTGATTTTCATGCAATTGTGTTTGATGAATTCATTATCTAACATGAAAAACATGAAATCAACTGAAAAATAGATTGTAGAAGCTGCAATTACAATGAAATTTAGTTTACATGAATCCCTCAAATCCAGGGTACCATTCATTTCTGACATCGTGGCGTGATAATGATTTTGCACATTCAATCTAAAAGTTTTGAACAGGACATTGCAGACATGTCTCCCAGTCTCATTGACTTACTTTCAATTCTTACAACAATTAATTAGTTTATTCCAAACACTTATTGACAACCTATTTGAAACTGAAAGGATCTTTTGTGTTTGATTGGCTACATGTAAATTGTTATGATGTTAGCCTTCTGAAGTTATAACAAATGTTTATACAAGGTATCAGACTTCATAAGTGCTGCCATTAACTAACACTTCTCAATTGCATCTAATCGAAACGACATACAATATACATGTAGGGGAGACCATAGAATTGTCTAAGAATTTAAAGTCAGTGATGACAATTTTCATTCAATTTCCCCATTTTATGATCTGTCATCTCTCTATCAAATGTTATTTCATGCTTCTTAGAAATGTTGTAGTCAAGTTGTTTGAGCGCTTGCCTGGTTGTGGGTTCGATCCCTGATATGGCACTAATGTCCTTTGGGAAGGCATTAATCTACATGTACATATGACAGTCCGGGCCATACCCAGGAGAGAAATGGGACCTGTTACATGTACATATAGGATGACAAAATCCCTTGAGTTAGTAATTGCCATGTGCCATCAAGGTGACCATATGATAGGAATACACCCCAGATAGTGGAGATGGTGCACATTTTGTGTCTGATAACTGGGTTAATAATATTTGAGTATCCCATAGATTTAGTGATCTCATATTCCAAACATTCCTAACTTTTATATTATTGCTATTTCAAACTTTTGCCATCCTGTTCCTCTTAGTTTTGTGCGAATGAACTTATTACAAGCTCGGATTGCCCTTTAAATCATCTTATAGCCACACACCTACTACGGTCTCAGATGTCCCACATCTTCAGAAGAGTGTAGTCAGTTTTGGAATTGAATTCCTGCTTGTCTTTATTCTATCTCTAAAGAGGATTTTACAGATTAGACAACTGTTCTGAATACCAGTGTTATTTTTTCAATGATTCTGTTTCAGTAGAGATCTGGGCCTGTACATTTTAAGACTGATTTACTTATTTAATCCTTTCTACATTTTGTATTATAATCTGATTCTATCAGATAGCTGCTAAAAGGATAATACAAATAAAAATCTCTTCTCTATACTAATTATTCGCCCCTGTTCCATGCCTCACACCTAAGCTGCTTTTCCTTTTTTTTTACAATGCATGGATTGAAGCCCTGTGAGATTTTTCCTTATCCATGATTATCCTTTTGACCTTTTCTTTCTCTAAATTTTCTGGCTTAGATTGGAGATGAGTCATGAAGAATGATGACTAATGGACATGCGATGTTACATAATAAAAATAATCCAACAGACAAGATCATTTTCTAGTAATAGATGCATCTGTTCATGAGAGTAATTTCTTCTGTATTGAACTAGAGTCTTGATCTATAATAATAATAATAATGATAGTTGGTTCTTGTACAGCGCTCATGTCTGTCATACTTGACACTCCTGGTGCTCCATATTATTACCCTGGCTTTAGGATGGCTGCCATTACGGCGCTTTAGCATTTCAAGGAATTAATTCCTGCCAGGTACCCATTTACATGTACATCACCTGGGGTTGAGTGTGGCAAAAGTAGATCAATGTCTTACCAAAGGACATTAGTGCCGTGGCAGGACTCGAACCGTGGACCTTGTGATCGAAAGTCCGGTGACATATCCACTCGACCACAACACCTTGATCTATAGCCCTGTTAAAGATATTTGTGTGCTCAAATTTCCATTCGATGTCAAAATCATTCCGCAATTTTTAAAATCCCCTCTCGACACTGATTCATAGTCAGAGTTAAATTAGTAAAATTCCATTTCTGGCACTTACTTATCAATGTCTGCGTACAAGTGCAAATTAAAGAGCTCTTCAAGTATGTGATTCCACTCCATGATTATTGAAGTAGATTTCCAAGCACCCTATCATTCCATGTTCAAGCATTGCGTTTCTGATTACGTGTATATTGAAAAACCCCTTAACCTTAGATTCTCCTCATTTTGATCTATTCTGCAGGTATGAGAGTTCTGAAGAGGATGATGAAAGTGCAAACGGGCAAAGCTTGAGTGCTTCAATTGGAGGTACAGCGGAGAGACACATCTGCTATCTCTGAAGACATCAACGATCAGGACAGAAAGCACCACTCAATGCACCTTGCTTCCTGGAGGGTTGTAACAGGAAGGGCTTAGGTGCATTCCATAGAAGTACAGCAGAGAGTCGCATTGTACTTGATCTGAAGATATCTTTCATCGTGTCAGGGGAGACCGCTGTACACACGTCTCGCTGTCTTCAAACGGTACAGTAGGCACAGCTTGAGGTAGTCAAACAGAAGTACATCACTCAGACACATCAGACATCTCTGAAGACATCATTCACCAAGTGTGAAACTGTTACTGGAGTCTACCGTGCAGTAGAGAGATACACACCTACTACTTCCTGATGGCCTCCTTCATCGGGTCAGAACTTCTGAAATCATGTTGCCCCCCTCAGGAATGAAACTGGCAGAGGTGGAGTGCATCCCTCGGAGGTGCAGTGGAAAGACACATTTAATGTCTCTCAATATGCAGAACCCAGGTCCAAACATAAGCATTAATCTCCCCAACCATATTTTCTCTTATTCCTTGAATCTTAGATACCATCTGTTTGGAGCCAGTAGGACGTTAAGTATATGTATGTTTTAAGTATATAACACCCTTCTGGCTCCAAACAGACGATACATCATTTACAGGTGATAACAGTAACCGTGACTGCCTGCTTCTGGTATTTACAGTAAACATGGATGCCACACTGAGACAAGGTTACTTGACAGGCCATCTCCTGAATGACATGAATCCACAGAGTGTCTTCAGCCATCTCCCTTTACCTTGAAGAAAGATTTGACGTGGGTTGAGAAGACCTGTAGCATGTAATGTAGCTACCATCAGTAAGGAATGACTGTGTTACAGGGTTTCATGTGAAGGTGTACTGTAAATGTATAGGTATGTCATTTTGGAAAGGAGCGTATATCTATGTTGAAAGTTTGTTCGTATTTCAACCTCATTTGGCTCCATACTCTGGAGAGGAAACCTCATTTGTTTACCAAATTCCATTAGGTAAGAAACAGGTAGAGCAAATTAAACCAATTATACAGGTACAAGGAGTAGGAAACTGAAAATCAAACTAGGTATTAATTTCTAAGTTTTGTTCCTACAATTTCAAATTATACTATAGCTATAAGGGTAATCTTATGTTCAAGTTTAGTTGGTTGTTTTTGCTTGTGAGTAAGTAAGCAACCAGGGGACCTCTCAGATGGATTTGAAAATGAGGATTAAATCCTTACAAAAAGGCACTACCACCTTGACTCGGTTTCAAACCCGGGAACTCCCAGTTACGAGACCACTGCTTTACTACTGAGCCATCATGCCTTCAAGTACTGTGGGGGGGGGGGGGGGGGACATTGGCATAGAATTTAAAAAGAAACTGTATGAAATCTTCACAATATGCAAGCCTACATATAAATGAAATCTACCAATGTAAGATTTTGGTGGAGAACAAGACTGAGCAGAAAAATAGAATGAAATTTAGTTAGTTGTCCTGACCCCAATAACATGTACATGCCATTGGTCCATCTCAAAATGCATTTCTATCACCCGAATTCAAGATTAGCTCAAGACAGATTCAAAGAGATTTTATCATTGCCATAAAGCCTCAAACAATGTCTTCAGATTATTTAAAACGGACATTGTATTGTGCAATTGATATTTCTGATTTGATATCATTGTCTTCCGTATTTGATTGTGCCTCATGTGGACCAAATTCATGAAATACCCATTACACATGGCTTGAAGAGGGATGTCCACCAATGAAAGAAATTCTGTTAATTAAAATAAATAAAATAAAATACATACTACATGCCAGTTGTTCAAAAATCAAATGTTTTATAAGTTTGAACTAACACGAAAGCCAACTGTATGATTTTCTAAAAGATGCAAACAGTTTTCCATTTGTTTTGTACTGAGAATTATAAAAGAATACCGTTCTTGTTCTTGTTGGAAAAATGTCTGTCAACAAAAAATACCCAGTGAAATATGGGAAAATTGAAATTGAAGAAAGTTTTAGTATAAACCAAATTGTGAAGCTGATGGCAATGGAAATGAGAAAGGTGCCTGTTTGTGTTTGATAACTTTAAATCTGTATCACTTTCTTTTTATCCTTTATCAGATTCTCCTCCTACATTCAGAAATCTCTTGCTAATATTTTCTGCATTTTGAAGCAAACTTGATGTTAGGATGGACTTGCACCTTTAAGATTCAATTCACAATGTAAACTGATACTTTCCAAGATATCTTCCATTAACAATCCTGAAAAGGCATATATTAATTTATTGTTTGGGAGGAAGGATGGTATTGATAGACAAACAATATGATAACCATTAAACTCATTTCATGAAGTATCCCAGGGACCTATACTTGATATTGAATACTTAGGCATACTGGTAGACACTAAACAGAAACCAAATACTCTCATCTTTCTAAGGAGATAGGAAACATTGCCACTCAAAACTATACAAAAGAGAAAGGAAAGAAAGAAAAAAATATCTGTGGTTTTGGTTCAGTTGTGCATTGAGTTTATCCAATATGAAGTGCTTAAAAAAGGTAGATTCAAAAGTTTACAGCAAAAATATTGACTTGTAGTATGTAAAAGAGGCAAGCAAACACTTATGAATTTGAAAAACCAGTGCAAGACGGAATACTCCACAATGTGCTATATTTAAAGGTAATATGAGTGGAAGCATTGTAATAGGCTAAAAGCACATGAAGCAGTAAGCCAGGAATTCAGTGATAGCACTGATTGTTAAGTGTGTATAGTTACATTGTCAGGGTTATACGTACATACACACAGTCAATGTCATACAGATGCATCTGTTTAGGTTAGAACACTGCATATTAATAATAATAATAATATTTAATTTTTATATAGCGCCAAATACAAATGTCTCTAAGCGCTTTACAAATATACTATTACCCCGGTCATTGGATTCAGTGCTTGCCCGCACACACCATGTGCACAATCTGCACTCCCTGGGGAGCATTCCAGCCGGGCGTTACATGACGCTCACAAGCTGTTTGACCAACAATGACGGCCGCATCCTACCGGGTACCCATTTGACACCTGGGTGGAGAGTAGCAAGTGCAGGTTAATATCTTGCCAAAGGATATTAGTGCCGTGTCGGGATTCGAACCCTCGCTCGACCTTCGCATCTCCAGTCAAGCGCCTTAAACCACTCGACCACGACACTCCCACTAATATTAGGCTGAACTAAGTACTAATAATAATATTCCGCTTTTATATAGCGCTTGATACAAATGTCTCTTAGCGCTTTACAGATATACTATTAACCCGGTCATTGGATTCAATACTTGCCTGCACACAGTCAATCTTCACTCCCTGGGGAGCATTCCAGCTAGGCGTTCCTTGACGCTCAAAATATGTTTGACCAACAATGACTGTCGCATCCTACCTATGCATCCACTCTTAAATATCCTTTGTTTCAAGCACAAATATCAAATCTACTGGATTGACTGATTGGCATGTCAAACTTATAATACTTCTGTAATATTACATTATTTCTTAATATCAATACAGCAGTCACATCAATTTTTCTTTTAATGAGATCACAAGCAATATCACTGTATATCTTCACCATATTCCTTCATATGGTCTAGATGGTATAAAAGTTATCTTGTTTTCTTTTTTGAAGGGATATTTTACTAGGTTTAGGAGATGAGCTGAGACCTTGATTAACCTCAACATTTCTAAAGGAGAATTTTACTTGTAGTTCTATCTTTAACAGAAGAGCTAAAGGCATGCATTTGATGGCTCAGTGATAGAGCAGTAATCTCGTAACCAGGAGGTTCCATGTTCAAAATCAAATCAATGCGCCAGTGACTAAGAGTCAATGTGCCCAAGACCAACTTCCAATACTACAAGACCAGGGGGGTGTTTCACACAGACTTAGATCAAATTTAAGTTGGACTTAACTATGGCAGGCTGTTCATGCCACTAGTTCCTCTAAACCATTCCTGGCATTGGTTTCTCAAGGGATGTACAAATCATGGTCACAAATCTACAGAATTTACATGATTTTTTGATAGTTCATTATTGAAGGAAAAAATATTATCTAAAGATCATAATTGATAGACCAATGGTGAGAGCAACCAGTGCCATAGTTAAGTCCGACTTAAAGTCGATCTTAGTCTTTGTGAAACACCCCCAGGTCCCTTGGATAGGATGTAAGAACATATCTCCATTGGTTGCTTAAAGGCATATACTAGATTTCTAAACGGACTGCTACATCTTTCTTAAATGTAAAGCAAACATCATATAAATAAATTTGTATGAAGTGTCAGGGTTATAGGATCATGGTGAACTTGTGCTGAATTTTCATGTGCACTATAAACATAAGGAAAATATAGCATCATGCCAGGACGTACAGGCTTTGGAGAAAACTACCAGGTTAATTCATAATGTTTAATACACATATTCATGAGGGTCCTTCAACTTATCATGAATACTTAGTTCGATTGGCAGGGAGACATAACATTTAACATGCAGGCTATTAATAATCATATTCAAAACATTTATATGCAAACTGCTGTGTCATGAAAAGGGTTAGGAAAAAGTATCCACAGTGTATATCGTCCTTGTTTTCACGAAGTGACGGTAGTGAGGAAAATCGTAACGCAAAGTGTATGCAATTTTTTTCACTAACGTCACTTCGTGAAAACAGCGACGATATATAAATGTACTTCATGTTTGTAAGTGCCTTAGTAAATATGAGCTGCACTCAGGTTTAAGCTACAGTCTCATAATGAACAAGACATGTTGAGTTCATATCTGTCTCATTTGTGACTTGACAATGTCTGAATGGGATTGACCACTTACAGATCTCACACCTATTGTGCATTCTCCACTCCTTGGGGACCATTCAATCAGTCTTCCTTCAAAGGTACTCGCATGCTAATTCAAACCATTCTTATGGATAGAAATGGAAAATGCGCAAAAACATATTTTAGGCTAAGGATTTGGAACAAAAAGTTGATGAAAAATTTATTCGGAGTTGAAACTATTTTTTTGTTTATTGTTGTATGTTTTGACAAGGGCAAGCCTATGCAAACGGGAACCAAAGGTCTCTTGTGGTATGTGAATATTACCACCATGTTCTTCTGCACTATTTATATGACATCTATATTTTATATGCTCACAATGATTTTGACATCCATTTCATGTGTAGCTAAGTTACAATCAATTCTTTATACTTTATCATGATCAGAGTTTGTTTTGATCAAGATTATGTAAGTAAGCCCACCAAGTATATGAGCTATTTTATGATGAAAATATCTCTTACTACTGGTATATTTTAATATAATTTATTATTGCAGGGTGGTCCACAAGGAGTTTAAACATGAAAGAGTAACAGGTTGTGAAAATCATATAAAGGTGTTTGTTTTGAACATTAGCAAGAGGTTAATATTCATTCTCAACCAAAATTATTGAAATGTTAAAAAAATTAGTGCATCTAATAACCTTAGAACCCTTCAGCAAGGGCACGAGACCAGCACAAGGGGCTTTGTGATTCGCATACATCAGTTTATACTCCTTCCACATTCCAGTTTTACTTGTTTTAATGTTTGTGTGTGGACTACCCTGATGATTGCAATCAAGAGTTAAAAGATTACATTTTTAATGTAAATGACACATTTTGTTTTGAAGCTTTCTTTTTGATATACTATGAGTTTAAGAAATATGAATTATGCATTTGCCAAAAAATCGGCCTTGTAGAAAATGTTAGGATACAATAATGATAACATATTGTTTTTTGATTAAATGGTTATGTTATGTCAACTCTGTCCAAGATTCAGCTTTGAATTGTGCCCACGCCATCAGACAGCATTCAAAATACTTTTTTGTTTGCGGGAGCTCTTTTAGTATCCGGTGTTGTATAAGTGCGATTTTCTCACATTATTTTATTGTTATATTACCAGAGCTCGTTTTCAGTTTATCAGAGCTATTTTTTTATCTTTCCAGAGTTAAATCACTCTCAGATCCTGTGTATCTTTTTTTGCTGCCATCATATCATTATTTGTTGTTTATATGCAGGAAACTAGGTCAGTGATACACCTAACTCACACCGATTTAAGAGAGCCCAGACTAGATAATCACGGTTTGGGAATGAATCCTTTTGGAATGTAAAGAGTCAGGAAATGGTACTTTGTAACATGATACTTCAGAACTAGTGTGTTGGCCTCTCAATGAACTTTAGTCATGTGAATTGTGACATTCATCCATAGTTCAAATTGGAATTATTTGTTTGTGGAAATTGCTCGGTTACATGTAGTGAAATCTACAATGGATTTTAAAGTGTACAATCATCTATTTGTATACAGGTAGAATGTATAAAGTCAGCCTTCAATATAGAAATTAACCTGGCATTCTATGGGTTAGCAGTTAAGAAGCATGAAGAAAACTAGGATAAAATTAACCCTGACATATGCAACCTAAGTCTGACTTGAGTTTTGTGTGTGCCCTATTCTGCTGTATTAAAGCACATACATACAGGTATATCTATCAGTCTATTTACTAGTTGCCTTTGTGGGTGTATATGAACTTGCAATGTATCTTTATTGAAGTTATCTGAAGCTCATATTTTGAATATAGTATAGCAACATGGACCCCTGACATTACACAGAGCAAAACATTTCCTGGTGATTGATACACCTTGAAGGATATGAGAGAGATTCATTTCACATTGAGTGTGGAGATCAGGGGAAACACATTATGAAAGGTTGACAAATACTATCATGACATAAGGGTACATCAAATCAGCAGATTATTATTGAAATGTATGAAATGTTTAGATCGCCAAGAATTGACTCAATTCTCAGTCAATCTTTTTTTACAGATTAATTTTTTTCTTTAATTCAGGGAGAAATGTGTATAAAGTTATCTGGATGGCAGTGTTGTTCATGTTGTTTTTTGGTTTTATATGTTCTTTAAGTAGACATGCGGTCATGCTGTAGCAAGTGGGAAGACGTTTGAGGCTGAAATTTTGAGTTGAAAATCTTCTTTTGAAATATATATTCCATACTATGTTCATCAAAATGTATTTGCGTTTGTTCACAATCATATATCATTTCCAACAGTGTATTCAAACTTTGTGAAAAGCAAAGTAATAATTGTATAAGTTGTATATGTACATACTTTATATAAAAAGTGCTCTTGTAGTGTACCATATTGACTTCAACCACCAAAGGTTTTCAAATGTTTGAAATTATACATGATTTGTATTTTTCTACTTTTCTACTTTTCTACTTTATAGATATATATGTTTAATGTAAGATCATAATGTCGTTTTATGATCATCTTTGATGTAATTGGATATGTTAGGAGGAAGAAGTTAAAATATTATTTATCATCACTTAGTCTGTAGACACCAAGACCCATTATTGGCTTGTAAGATTTATGCACTGCTCGTTCAGAATTGTTATGAACATTGTAAAGTTGATCAATATTTACGACCCTTGTTATCTATTTCAAGGCATCTCACTATGTATGTATCTTAACTATGCACATTGATTTATTTAAATGTAACCAAGTATTAATTGTTGCAAAGTGACGACTGTGATAATTCACATGATTGTGAATAATCATGGATATAAACTAATTAAATGAAAGAGCACTGTATTTAAGAACAGTATCAAATTGAAATGTAATCTCAACAAAAATATTATTTGTCATGTGATGATGAAATCAACAAATTCCTACTCCCGAAATATTCGTTTTTTGTACTCAATCAAGGAAGCATACAATCATAATCATTATTTATTATAAGATGATAATCATCCCTTTACTTTTGATCTATGTTGATCATGTACTTAATCTTTCCTTCAAGAAATCAATATATACATGTATATGTCAGAATTGATACTGCAATACAACAGCATTATATAAAAGGCAACGTTATGTATTTAGTGTTGGATTTTATTATTATAAACAACATCAGGTTCAAGGTTATTAGGAATGTGTATCATTGTTTGTTCATCTTCTTCCTCCTTCTCATTTTAATCATTGTCATCTTAATGGTATTCATCATAGATATCCTCATCTTTATCAGCATCAAAATGATAATCAAAACTGTTATACCTTGTTCATCATCATCATCATCATCATCATCATCATCACTACCAGTGTTGTCATCATTATCACTGACATCATCATTATCAATATCACCATCACCATCACCATCACATCATCACCATCATCATCATCATCATCATCATCATCATCATCACCACCACCATCTTTTCTTCATCATGAAAATCAACAGCATAAAAAATCTTTGCCACCTCTAACAGTGAAGGACATCGTACACACCAACCTTTATGAACCTCCTTATGTCTTCATTCATCTGCTTTTACAAACTTTGCATATTATATTTGCTGTTAAGATATAAGTATCTGTTGTTTCACTCATTACCTTTATAGAAGTGACCTTGAAAGAGTGTATTTCTTCTCTCACTGAGGGAATGGATTTACATGCAACAAATAACTGTTTACCCACCTTATTGAGCTAAGAAAATTACTGGTATTTATATAAATGTTTTTTTTTATCAAAGTCACATTGTAAGCAGCTGAAATTTTGTTTGAATCATGTGTATTCACTCGATGCAAAATGTTTCGTTTACCTTTTCACAATATATTTTATACGTATGTGCACAGCATTGCTTATTTAAATAAAATATTGACCATAAGGCGAATTCGAAATTTGTGTTTTTTCATTCTATGAGGAAAATGTTAAGTGTGTATTAGAAGTGAATTTGATGATGATATGAAGGAGAATCACTTGATACAATGAAGAGGGTTAACAGGGGCATACATGGACAGAATATTAAATAGTATGGAATTATAAAAACCGCTGGAAACTAATAACTCGGCCCCCGATATAGAAAGCGTGTACATGACCTGTGTTACCTCACTCCGTAGGATATTTAGATCAAGCCAGAATTTTAAAAAATGTAAAGGGAGACAGGGGGAAACATGCCCCTCTATACCCCCTCCCCCCCCCCCCCCAAAAAAAAAAAAAAACCTGGCACTTTAATAATTACCTTTTTAATAGCCTGATATCCCATTTTTATTTTAGAATCGTTGATATCAATAATCTAATAACTCTACAATAAGAATATATAGATGATTCATAATGAAAAGTCGTCCAGTCACAAGTTCGTCAATGAAGATATGATTTTTATTAACAATATAATTTGAGTACATACATTTATTTTTCATTTCAACATTTTACTGTAAGAAACATGTGCACCTCTTCAATCTGTGATAAATAAAAATGATTGCATTTCGCTCGATGTATGTACAATACATAACAATAATGTACACCAAACTATTGAAAGAAAATCTGTTCATAATTGCACTTAACTTTCCATTCCCAAACTTATTGATTATCGCCTACTCGATGTTTCATACAAATTGTTGCAGCTCTGGATACATAAATAAAAAAACGTGACAAAGATACATAAATACGTAGGTAACTCAATTTATATTGCTTTGTGATATGCTAACGACATATTAATATCCTATTACCCCGACCAATTAACGCATCAGTGTGGCACGTATTTGTACTTATGTCGAATATGGATACCCATAAAAATGTCATTTCAAGGTAACACTTTAAAAAGTCTATTGTAACTTCTTTAATTACTTTTTTAAATATCTATTGTATATTCATTAATTACTTAATTAAGATATCTATTGTAAAATTTATTATCATATTTTATGCAGCTATTAACATAATGTGCAGCTTATTTCCCAGTACTTATACAGTGAATGAACCGATGTGAGAGCTTGCCATTTTTATGCCAATATATCTCCCAGTTCTTCCTTATGAATTGCTGTTATTGGCGATACAATATAATTTACTGAAAAGACACACCGCTTTAAGTGAACATTTGCTCCAAGATTGACTTTCGAATAAACAATACAATCATTTTATGCATTTGTTTAACGAAAATCGGTTTCCACTCATTACTATTCTCATGACCATCGTATAACAATGCACGTGCCATTCTTGGATACTACATCCGTTCAAAGCGGAAAGCCTATGAAAAGATCCAATCCTTTTCTACTGAAAATATGCCTTGTATTCCATGAGATTCAGTGGTAAATTAGGCGATCGGCACGATTCATAAATAAATGACTACGTGCAAGAACAATCAACTAAGAAAATGTTGAATCAATCCTCATTTAATAGCACAAAAATGCTAATCACAATAGCATTGTTGTAAGTTTCGTATACGTGGTAGGCCTACTTCTCTAGTCTTGTAACCATACTGGATCTCATATGACAACTTAAACATGTAAACCTCTCCAAAAAAAAATATGATCGATCATATCTCTCTCGTCGTGGCCTTATCATCGAAAGAAAAAAAGAGTGCTCTGCATTACAATACCAGTGCTTACTAGTTTATTTTGCAATTTTTGCTTTTGACCCTGCCCCTTATTCTGATGTACTGCTCACACCATGGCTGCAAAATCATAACAAATATGGTATTACTTAAGAGAAGAATAAACACACATTACAAACTTTGTAATGATATCAATCAAAATAATTATTATGCCTTGAAAAGAGAGCTATGATCAAGCCAACTTTCGTTTCCAAACTTTCAAGCTTGCTTACAAAATAAGTAATGTGTATTATAACTGATTACCTCCCCTTGTTTTTAATTTATTTGTTGAAATATTTTAAATACTTTTGATCTTTTCAAAAAAGTAAACGAAATGAGAAATTGTAAATAGAATACCACGGGTGGTGACGATGTTGTCAAATCCATACAGAGACAACGCAGGAAAAGAAACAGTATTTTCATACGATATGACATAATGAATGAAAATCATTACTGCAGTCTGTAAATTGCCTCATTGTAAATAAAATGATATAAACATCCGTTTATTTTACATTGTTTATGCTATCCGGCGCCACCGCATTTTAATGATGACATACTTTTTACACTCTTCGTACAATGTATAATTCGACACTGTGTTATACACCCTTATTATCTTGCAGCCATGCAGGGGTGACGCCAAAATGCCGAATGACATTCCTCTTCATAACGTGACAAAGCACTTTAGAGTACTCCTAACCCTTCGTAAACCTCAGTGATGTAAAGGGTTATTTTAGCCTTTTTAAAGCTTACCAAAGACATCTCACTTTTTACCGGGCCATATGGACTCATATTGATCATCACGGGCTCTGAATTGTCTGTGTAGTAAGTCGTACTCCCCGTCCATGGGAAGGTTTTTACGGTTCTCCACTTTCCCATCAGATCTCTGGGCATTGCCATTGGTCTTGGTCGAATCGGCTTTATGTGCTTCTAAGTAGTCGTAGTCGTCCTCCTCGTCGTGACGTAGAGTTGGAGCTTGAGCTCGCTTGGTAGGAATATGGGTTAGTCTCTTTGCGGAGCGGTTGAGATGTGAGTATTCGCCATCAGTCTCTGCGGCCTTCACGGCGCTGCTGTACCCCGTGTTCCCTCGTGACGTCTTCTGCTTATCATCGGGACCAAGTCGACTACCGGTGTTCACACCTCTGTTCAAACAGCTATACTCTCCTTTCTGACCTTTTGACGGGGCCGAGTATGTATACGACCTCGTGAACCGGAACTGCTTGGGTTTGTCCTGATCCACCACTTCCTCTTCCAACTCATCATAATCACTGTCTTCTGTCGGCTTATACGATGTCCTGTTCGACGAGGCGTTCGAGCTGGATGAGGTGTACAAAGATTGATAGCCACGATCGCTACACTTAGAATCCGAGTTCGACATCGTCAGAGGCCTTTTAGATGGGAATTCTTTGCTTAGGGTCGAGACATGATCTACCGGTTCGGCGTAGTCATCAAAGTCATTATCGGGTGTGACTGTCTTCGTAACATACGGCTGCGTAACCGTGTTTGAGCTGGATCTGCTTCGAGACGAGCCTGGAGATGAACTCCCTTCATTAAGTGAATTGGTGGATTTGTTAAGACGGAGACTGTTGGCCCAGTTAGCAAAGACCTCGGTGGCCTTACTGTCTTTCCTTGGAGCTTCCAAGGTCGTCATGTTACTCAGTGATGACGTACGTAGCAGGTAGATCTCTTTAGTGATGGAACTGATGCTGTCTTGAGCTTTGAAGGACTCGGCTCGTTCTCGGGCTTTCTTTGCTAGCTTGTCAATCGTCTTGCTATTGGTTCTGTATCGACCTACAGTGAAGAAGAACAAAAGAGGAACAAATTATTATAGTGAAAGTAATCACTGTCTTGTTTGATAAATGAAGAGTGAAACGTCTAGTCTGTTGAAATAAATGTGCTCTTAATGCATAATAATGTCACATATTCAGCTACATGTATTTCATTTGTCCCTTGGCACACATCACGAATCAACGTTAACAAAATATTGAAAACTAATTGTGTTAAATGTGTCGCCCTCAAAACTGCAACATGGCGGCACATTCGAACAACAAATTATTGAATCTTTAATAGTAAAAGGTACTTCCTTGGGGTGATTTATCAGTCGTATGATAATGTTACATAGACAGGGTGTGATCAGTACATAATAAGGAGCCCGTACTAAGTGGGAAAAACATGATTAAAGTTAACATACCTTCATTTTCTTTAGAATTGTTTTTGTCTGCAATGACGTGAATGTATTGGAATGCAAATAAAAAGTCATCAGGTTTTTCCATGCAATTTAATGCTAAAAAATACGGGTTGCTTTAAAATGTTACGATATATCCGTTTAAAACCACGTGCTGGTATGGGCTTTAACTTCGCCATGGATATGCCCCCCCCCCCACACACACACACACACACACAGATCACTGCCAGGCACAAGCCCGGAAAGAAGAGGAGGATTGGGCAGAGAGCTACTATACTATCAATCATACCTTGTACAATTGTATTTGCTACATTAACATCAAGTACAAGCTCCCTAAATATTTTTTTTTTAAAGGCTGCCCTGTGAAACTATATTCCTGTGAAAAACATGTAAAGAATAGCAACTGATCCATCATAGCATCAGCTCTAGCGTTGTAGAATTTGTATAAGTCATATTTAGGACAAAATCTCCTTTTAATTTGATTATTAAGTGCTACGCTACATGACTGTAAAATAATTATTATAACTCTAAGAAAATCCTTATTAATAAGTTGATATACAATTTTAAAACATATTCATGGCAGTATCAAACGAACATATTCACTTGCAACACAGGGAAGTGTATATATTAAGACCATAATACATGTGCATATAGCTTTACATTGCCACTATCGTCATTAGCAAAGATTGTGATTGAATTTCGGAGAATGTACAGGCCCTTAAAATATTGTCTTTTGACTCTACAACGATAACATTAGGAAGACACTGCAACTAACGTTGTTTCACAACATCGCAAGCTGGATGGCAAAAGAAAACATGAAATCTACAAATATTTAGGCATGTATTATATAAGGCTCACCAACAAACGTGATCTTGATAGTAGAGAACTACAACGCAGGAAACTTTTTCTTTCCGGTAGGTGTATTTTTTGTTAAAGGACTTCCGCAATATATCAATGCTTTCTGCCTACACTATCTACCTGCTTAACACAATAGGCGCAATATTCATCTAATCAGCCTGTCATGTTAGATACGTTTAGATATATCATATTTAAGGGGGGGGGGTATATTAGAAACGATTTCTACCTATAATGCACCCCGCCCTCTTAATTACAAAATTATCAGCCCAACCTCTCCCCAAAGTATCTCGCGCAAGGCTACACCAAATGTCAGCACTGCACTGTCATCATTTTGATATCATATTTTGTTATTAGCGCTTATCTTATATAGTGAGGTATAGACGGTTATTATCAGCCCCTTCGGAGCTAGAGGCACATACTGTAAAACCCCTTGAGCATCCCCGCAGAGATGTGTCTCCATTGGTATGTTAAAATGCCCCGCGCAAGCAGCGTATGGATATTAATTAAAGAATTCCTGCAGGGAACGTTATGGGAGAGGATAAACCTACATTAATTGGATGGATGGGTTTATCACACTATTAAAACTCAGACAGAATGACTCTCGTGTGTCTGCTACCACATTAAAACGAATAAGTTATACAGGGGCGGAGGAGCGTCTTTCAAAGTGGGAGTGCACCAGCAAATCAAAGCGTCATAACATCAACAGTACAAGGGGAACTTATCATATTTAAAAGGGGGCACTTATCAGAGGTGAACAGGGGTATTTTTCGTACCTAAAAAGGGGCACTCATCAGAGATGAAAAGGGGCACTCATCAGAGATGAATAGGGGCACTTCTTGAAAGGGAAGATGAACTTATTACGAATTAAAAGGGGCACTTTGGGATACTCGAAAAATATTGTAGGGGGCACTGTGCCCCCAGTCCACTTCCCCGCGGAAGCGCCGCCCCTGAATTTACAAGCTTTTAAAATCAAAACCATTTGAATCCTGGGAACAATAAAAGACTGGTTTCTATTTCTCTGTGGTTGTAGGACACATGCTCCTGGGACAAATCCTCCGTGGTCCGTGGTGATTTCGTTCACTCATTGAATTCCTAACTTCAACCCTGAAACCAACCAACCCTATAGGACCGTTCACACATAAACATTAGTGCGATTTGATGCAAAGATCGATTTCGTTTGCGACCGTTCATACATACAAATTTAGTGAGAACTGGATCGGGATGCAAAGATCGATTTTTAAATCTCACATATTTCTGTAGGTGTAAAACCCCCAGTACCTCATCCTAAAAAATATAAGCCTAATCCTAATCCTAATCTAAAACTAGATTAAAACCCTTAACCCTAACCCAGTAATTCATTTGACGAAATAAAACCTGTAATAATATTGTAGCCTGAGTAAATGTCGGATCAACCTCACGGAAAGGGAGTAATTCAATGATTTAGGTTACCGACTGAACATTTCATCAATCTTAACGATTGTATATCAACTTGAAATTCCATTTACATCATCATCTCTATACGCTTTGAGACGTCATTAGAAATGATATACTTTTCTTAGTGGCATGATCAGAAATTGATGAAATATACAAAAAGAGGGTAGGGGCAAACTGTTTTTATGGGGGTGGGGGTCAAATAGCGACGATATTTATTTTGTCTTTTGTCTTAATCATTTTTGTCTATTCAAACTGCAACATTATTTTAGTTATACTCAACCCACACATCCTCCCCCGCATTGATTGTTCTTTAAATTCCGATACATGGCATTGGTTTTAAATGGTAAGTGTATCTCCCGGAAACATTGCTTTCTTGTCTCGTATCCAATGACGGACATGGGTCTAAACCAGGATATGGAAAAGGAGACAGCCGAAAGGGGAAAAACCGCACACTTCATAGAATACCATCGAATTTCGATGTGAAACCAACTCAAAATAATATTCCCATGTTGTTCGATAACCATTGACAATATACTTCCAATATTTCAAAAATCATGTCGATCACATTAGCAGAGTAGCTAGCTCAGAGTCTACGGGTGATTTTTGTTTAATAGCAGTGCATGCTTGAATTACATCTTTCATAACATTTATACTTCGGAATCAGAAAACTGAATTGCTTTATTATTTTGGGTACCCGATGTTTACATATCATTAGCATATCATCTAACATATTGCACTTTTGTCAGTTGATTTGCAAACAAAATAAAAGGAAGCCGAAATTTAATGATCATTCGATAGAACTGTGGGAAAAGAAAGAAAAAAGATTACAAAAAGAAAGGGAAATCAACTAAGAATTAAAGAAGAGGAAACAACAAAATCTTTTTACAAATGATAAGGATGTAATGATTTAAGAGGAGAAGCAAACATATAAGAAATTATAGAAGTGAATCTGAAGACTGTAACTTATTTTCGATTCCCTATGTGATTATAGGACATTTTAAAATCTTAATATACCAAATATGGTTAAATGATTTTTATGTGGTTGGAGAAAGGGAAACTGTCGATTGCTAAACAGGAATAGCACAGATTTAATCATTCTCACGGATGGTAATATTGGCCTGGTAAAACACACGTGACAAAAATCATATACAGCTTGAAACCACGTTTTTTCTTCTACACGACCACCACCATTTCCGCACAGCAGGCCATCATTGAATTCAATTAGCAATAGAACCGACGTCAATCATATCAGGAAGATATAGTTTCCAACTTTTAGGTACACAGTGAAATATGGGAGAATATTCCAATGAATAAGATAAATGCGATAATAATGATATGGAATGTATATATCCGAAATAGAAAAAGACAGGGCAGAGTTATGAATCTCTGTAGATATAACCATGCATTATTGAGAGTCATTTGACGCTCATTCAAGAAGGTTTGGTGCTTGCAGTACCATGATAAATGGTATAATTAGAAAAATATAAATATAAAATATAAAGAAATCCTGAGTAAAGTCATACTGACGATGTCCAATCAAACTGAATGTATTGCTAAAAATAAATAAATATATAAATAAATAAATCTTTAGTATATTTATACTGATAATTTCAAATTAATTTCAAATGTATTACCAACTTTAAAAACAACTATCAAAATATAATAATGTTTTTTGTAACTTATACGGACAATTTCCAATCAATTAGATACCATGACAATTTATAAGAGTTATAAGTTTTAATGAATGTGACATTCATTAAAACTTCTATCTTTGATTGAGGTTTTAAGGGTTTTATGAATAATGTTAGTTATTTTTAGCGCAAAATGTTACAAATGTTCAGAGATATGATGAATTTGATCAGGAAATAAAAAATAAATGCTTCTCAACAGTCTAGTAAACAGAAAAAGAAATGGCTAAGTCACTATTCCACTTTCATCTTACACTATATTTTGTTGCAATACTTGAGCCTAAACGGTTCCACCTCTTTTTTTTACACAATTACAATCCATGGCTAAAAAGACAGTGTTAAAAAATTATAATACTTCCTCCGTATAATCACTTATATCTTATCCTATATATACCCCGAGACGCCAACAATCATATTGTTTACGTCAGAAATTTGATATCATATACATGTATACCAGGAAGCAAAATCCGATCTCGGCCTTCGAAGCAATGGGGGAAAACATAGGCGTACGGGATTATTCTCGCGAGGGGAGGGTGGGGGTGGGGAGGGGGGGTGTAGACCCTCTTTTTACTAGTGTAATTTTGTTGACACTTTATTGTAAAGAAAATAAGAGAAATTATATACAGACATCTCCTTCCCGAATATGAGACTATTCAGACACCCCACTGCCTCAATATGAGGTTATTCAGGAATCTCGCTGTCCGAACATCGGAACTTTTAAAATTCCTGGGATCTGTAGCCTCCTAGCTTGCCTGTACCCGCCTAGTACGCCTGAGGGGGAGGCCTATACATTTTCTTTTTTTCTTCTTTTTTACGTTTTTTAAATCCAAAATAAAAATGTTATTTCCTGGTCGCCGTCGTAATCATTTTGAATCTATCATTGTTGTAAATGAGTGTAAAATTTGTATAAAAGATAGACCCGCATGCATCCAACATTGAGTAGAGTCGGCGTATACCACCCCCTATTGTTCGAAGGCCCATGGGAAATGAAAACGATTTGTAATGGGTTTACAACACACGCGGCCACCCTATTAATTAAAAATGACGTCGTCCGAAATAGATTCCCGACCCTAGATACAGGACTATCTTTCTACCTGGACGTTTAAATATAAAACCCCTGATAAAAATGAAACACTATTTTCAGAATTCTCAACTCATTGAACAAGCTCTCGGTGCCCCCAAATCGTATATATTTCAAAAGAAAACGAGACTTCATTAATAAAGTAAATAAACAATGAGCTACAGAATATACATTTTTATTTTGACGATGAACATCTTACACGCCCCCAGCGCAACTACCCCTCGTTTCTGGATACACGACGATCGATCTACATGATTTCTTTTTTTTTTAAATTTTCAAATCCCTGATTTAAATGAAACGGCTTCATTCTAGATTCCTCAACTCAATGAAAATAGCTCGTGGTATCCCCCCTACACTTCAAATCATGCTCATTTCACAAAGAATACGAGACCATTTATAAAGTAAATGAATATTGAGCCACAAACTTTACATTCGTACTTTTGGCAATGAACACTTTGCATTCACCCCCCCCCCCACTTCCACAAGTCCAGCCGCCACCATGCAGAGTGTGGCAAACAGGAAAAGATAGGACTTAGAATCACTCTCAACTGGAAGTGAACTATGTCGGACAACAAAGCTCTACCCAATTTATTCTCAGGAACATTAACATCACAAGATAAGATTGGAACATGTGGTTATCTCATAACCAAGGACAAAGTTTATTTCCCAAATTTTATCTCTCTGAATTTTACTTTTGAGTAAGATCAAGAGCTAAACTATATTAAAGGTACTGATAATCATTTTGTCAGCCTTGATATAAGTTTTATAACATATGTAAAGCCGAAATATTAGCAATTAAAACCGTCACTTTCTCTACTCTGAATTCAAACAAAAATAACAGGGTTTTTTTTTTCAATCGATGAACAATAGAATCATAGAAAATCATTATATAATCCAGGAATTTTCAAACGAAGCAAAATGATATTCTGAATATTTTTCAATGCAGTTTATTTTGTTATTTGGTTAACTAACCGAGCGCTATCAAAATTTATGATAAAATCGCAGTTTACGGGAGAAAAGTCATCCAGTACGTTTGTTTTAAACCCATCTGCCTACAAGCCACAATATAGATAAAATAACACAAAATCCGAACTTGGAAAGTGTCTAGAATTCTTGATTGTGTCTAACATTAAGAAATTGCTTTAATGTCAGACTTTTATCTATAAAACAATCAGTTGTCTTTACTTATAATTTCCACAAGTTTCCTTTGTTTTAATAAATGTATGTCCCATAATTTAGAATGAAAACACTGCCCAAAAACTGAGATACACAGGTTTTAATGAAATTTGATTTAGAACCAGGAAGATTCTGAACACTAAGTAACACTATATCCTTAACCCTGACAGAGGTTTTAATCACTCAGAATCTTAATTGCATGGGGCAAGGCCTCGCATACAGCCTGCACGTCATCAAATTATTGCCCATATTCTTACAGTTTAATGAGGTGTAAATCAGTAATCCTATATGGAAATAGTCCCTCACAATGTAGAACCAGAAGTTTCAGGTATTTTCTCCCATTGCGTTAAGGTCTAATAGCTTTAGATTTTAATAATTTTGTTCGCCTTATCATAGCGTAGATCAAACCGAATTCGAAGGAAAATAATACCTCCGATCTAAGTTCTGTTCAGATTTTCGTTCAGTTCGGTAATGTATTTAGGACACAGAAGTACTACATAAAAACTGAACTTGGCTTTTTCTGAAACGATTTCCTTGTAATTTATTCTTTGTGCATTCTTTTTTTTCTTTAGTACAACTAATTATTATAAAAAAATGTCTTCGCAACTCCTGTGAATTGAATTATACACACAAAGGTTAATGATACATAATATCGTCTGAGCAGCAGTGAACCAATTGGATTAGCCTATGTTGGGCTCTCCACACCATCGGTCTATAATTAGTTGTTGATACCTGGACAGGCTATTTCGCAATTGCACAATAAATATAAACAATGTATACATTCAAGGTCTGATCTAAGGAAAAATGCATAAAAACGTCACATGGTACTGTGCGTAAGCCTAAATGTGGTATTTTAAGATCGTCATATTAAAAGATAGTTTAAAGACAAGTATCACCCTTAAAGCGTCTAAAGATATGAAAACAAAAATTATACTAGAAAATAAAATGAATTACTGTTCAATAATGCTTACCATTTGTAGATTCGACGATCTCATAGACGTTTGTATCTTCCAGTCTTTTCTTGTGTGTTCTGGGCAAACAGAATGAAAAACAAGAAAATAGATGCCTGGTATTAATACCAGTAGATTTATTGGACGGACTCTCCGGTTCCAGACCTCTCTTGTATGCCATTTTGATGGCGTCAGTTCTCACTATCAGATCCAAACGACCTAGAACCCGCTTCTGACTATCTCCTTACTTCCAACGAACCAATATACCAGTAGAAAGTGTTTTAAGAGAACTTTCAAGTTAGTTCCTCCTTCTGCTATGGATATGCTTTCGATCACCAATCGACAAAGGCCTTTATACCACGGGAAAACACGACAGCGCGGAAATGGTCGTTGGCATGGCGACAGCAACTTCCCGCCTTTTTTCTTTTTTGTTGCTATACCGGTATAATATACTTCAACAGCTGTTTTGGCACCAGTATATGCAATTCATAACTTTTGTGAAGTGTCAATGAAAGAAAAAGAAAACGAGCTTTCGATTTACTATTGGTTGGTATAGATGATTACCAGGCAACGCAAGTTTTGAAAGTGTACATGAGAGAAGTTTCTTGGCACTCCACAATGATGTATCGCTAAATGACGCAGCGCATCTCATTCTTTACAACGTAAATTAACATGGACCCTAGAGACGGTTTCGGTCTGCTCTGTTTGTTATTCAATTTCAGTATGATTTGTTATCGTATATATCATAGTTACGTGTATTTTAGTTTTGGTATGCTACATCTGTTTTGATAAATGTATTATTGTGTCTCTTTGAAATTGGAATTCCGGTGGATTAAATACAATCTCTTGGGTCATTACAAGTCACAATCATGAATTCAAAACTTCGAACTTATTGGAAGGAATAATTGATATAAGCGAACCCTAAATGTGTAAATAGTACTTAAATAGCAATGACGACCCCCCCCCCCCCCCCCCATCGGTTGATCACCGCCCTGTTCTCTTCAACTTATAGATATGAACCGAACATTCATTGTTTGCCTCGATCCACACCATGAATACTTAGGCTAGTACCAATGCCAGCGATATGTTCATATTGCATTGATCAAGGAAATGGAATAAAGGAAACAAAATGATTGATTCGTAAGAATCTATACCACATGCACGAGGAAAGGTCAATGACATATGGTTATGCAGTTTCCATTTTTTTTTAAACACGTAATTGATAGTAAGTGTGAGCTGTTTTGCATAAATGAGTAGAGATTTGACATAAACAAAGTCCGACCTATATTTTTTGAATAATTGAGATGACTTTTCTCTATTATTTGAATAATTAGGTATCAGTGATTTTCTCTTTCTTTACTTCCTCCAATATTCTCCATGCTTAAACAGTAACTGGAAGTGTTCCAAAACGAACCGAAAGATCGTGTCAGCTTTCGAGATTACGACATAATAAAGATGTCCAGACGTCATGGCATAAACCCCGTCTTTCTAATTGAATATTTATTTACGACAATTAGAGAATTTCAAATAATTGTTTATCCGTCGCAAACTGATTAATGAAAATGGTCCGTGTCAAAAAATGTAAAACTAATTGATTGTTTTGTGGTTTTGAATAAAGATAAATGTTACAGATCATAAGTACATAATCGTACTGATGGTTACAAAAACACATTTTTTTTTCTTTCTTGTAGAGTGTTGGTATATTGTTTGCAGTACCCTAGTGAGGTGCACTAGAATGAACAAATATTTCATTAGATATAAAAGACTAGACAATGAAAAATAATAGAACTCTGTAAACGTGTTAATTCGTCCAGATCACTACCAGTTCCTTTATTTGAAGACTGCGTCATTCCCTAAAAAATGCAGGTCATTAGATTTAACGGCTGTAGAATCTGGACAAGCTGAAATAACCATAAAGTACAGGGTTATGTCTACGTTTATGCTCAATTTTGAAGGCAGAATGAGCGATTTGAAACGCTCATCGTAATCGCAGTTCCACGGTGTACTGTTTATGTGCACTTCTCTGGCTCCTCCAGGCATGATTCTGCCTGGAGGAGACACCAAACATGGGCAGTAACGCGTGAAGAAAGTCCTCACACTTTTATTCGGATTAACGATAAAAAAATCCAGTCTTTTTTAAGGGTTTCAGAAGCTTTTGAACTAAATCTACATCAACCAAGTAACACAAGTCAAAGTTAACACATTTCCAACAGCCAGAAATGTAGTTTTGGGGAGGGTTACACATCCTTCTACCTACTGCTGTGGTTGAAGACTTTACTATCCGTATGAATTGGGATGCGTGTTAAATATTAACATTACTAGTTGTGAGAGCCATCTTAAAGACTTCGAAGAGGTCATTATGACTAGAGACATATACATATTATAAAGATCTGTTGGATAAAGCCCGACATAAAACTAAGTGTGATGAACCTTCTACACACTGCATATGGAAAGTTAATTCTCAAGAGCCTATACAAACTAAATAGTTTATTGAGGGCTTGAACATGGATCAATAGAGGATAGCGATAACTGCTTTTGTTGAAATATCATTATCAACTGGACACATCTTATCAGATGCATTACAACACAAATGGCTTTGTTTAGTTTTCTCAACTAAGGAATTCATTGAAAAGTAATTAAAAGTGAAAGAATGGATCGAACGAGGAAATTGACGATTTGGATTTTGTCCAATAAAAACAATGCGGTTAATAAATGAACTGCTATTACTGTCTTGTTTCGATACGGTCATTGACTTCAATCTTACCCTTCCACATGAACTGTTGATCCTTGATGTTGTCTCTTGATGAGGATGCCGATGAGTACGGATGCGACCACGAGCAGCAGGAGCGACGACACTGCGATCACAGCCCATAACGTCAAGGTCTCCCCTCTAGCAAGCCTCTCCTCTGACGTCGCCGTGTCACCCCCTTGGAGAGCGATCTCGGGTTTCGCCGCCTTGCTCGTGCTCGTTCCGTCGTTCGGATCCGCTGCAGGGTACTTGCTACCGGTCGTTGATACGGAGTGACTGGACGATGAGGAGGAGGAGGCGGTGTCAGATGCGGTATCAGTGCCTGTACGTGGTCCTGACGGAGCGGGCACTCTTCCCGATGATCCTTTAGCTGGGTTAGCTCTTGCTGGAGACGCGGTCACGGGTAGTTTACGTCTTGGAGGTGACGCCACCACTGAAATAATGAATGTTAATGAAAATGTTGCCATTAGTTTGTCTACCCACACAATGTGACAATAATTCTGAAACAATGCAAACTCGACCTTTCTGTTTTTTTATATACAGGATACAGGATGTTATAGCCACAATCGCGTACCTTGGACAAAAATGCAATAATTGAGAACAAACAATATGTTAACACCGGCTTATGATCTCCTCTGCATAAGACCCCTCGCCGTCAAAAGAAAGAAGTAAGATGTAGAGTGCATACCTTTGTTTGAGTTTCAACAGATTTGTTTAAAGAAAATGATTTATTTTAATATTGGGCAGTGTTCAGCACTGAAGATAATATCTAGGGTTTTCTAGGAGGAATGTAATACATTCGAATAGTGACTGCTAAAGAACAAATTATTGAGATAATAACCATGGAGATGTAGGAAAGAATTTGAGGAAATCTAACCTTTATACCACCTAGTACCACATTACTTGCTTCTTAGTGGTATGTTAAAAGTATTTCTCACCTGGGTCTCTCTGAGTCGTTGTCCTGCTCGATCCGTCGCACACCTCCCCCTGGGGACATTCACAGTTCCCGCTGACGTCATTACACAGCAGTCCCGCGGGACAATTACACGTCTGCCTGCAGTAAGGTCCATACAGTCCAACGGGACACCGCCCCGTGCAGTGGTACATACTGTATGATGATGATGACGATAGAGGGTTCATAAATTCGTCTATGTCACTATCGGACGAGTCCTCATCGTACTCAGAATCGGACTCGTCCTCGTCGCTGTCCAGGTCACCACCTGATTGACTTGATCTACTTTGGGGAGGTTACGGTTGTGAAGGTTGAACGATGTTTTGTATTAGTTGATGGACGGGGTAGGTGCAGAGGTAAGAGGTAGGGGTGGGTGTAGAGATAGGGGTAGTTATAGAAGTAGGGTTGGTGGAGAGGTAACGAGTTGATCAACAAAGAGGAGGGCATGATGGAGCGAGAATTTTAAGCAAAAAGTTGTCTTTCGATTAATTATATGATAATCATTAGTGTGTACAATAGTGGAATAAGAGAGGGCCAAACGAGAAAAGACTCGTTTAGATATGGCGCGGGAAATCAGCGTTAAAGAACCACAGCGGTTAAATAAAAAAAAGCTCTGCGTTATAAGAAACAGAAATGGTAGGGGATACAATTTATATCATCATTACAAATACCGCCGCGGTTTCGCTACGTCATATCGAGATATGACAAAATAATAATTGTCGATTCATGTGAGAGCAATGTTACAATCTAGTTTTTAGGCAAATGGTGTTCGTCTAATTCTCAAAACTTCACCAGTGAATAGAACTCATATTTTGCTGTCTGTGCTTTGTTCTACATTATAGGATTATACTGAATAGCGCTTATACGGTCATTTTAAAACATAGAACTATCAAGTTAAGACGTAAGCCAAAACATTAAGATATTCACAAAATAACACAACAATTAATTGTAAAATACATTAAAAAAAGTAACAAAGTATTGGTGCACCCCATGCACCAACCAAGCATCGCTTCGTACAGCATGCCCCTTCGTCCTTACGCATAGGTTTAAGGCAATGATGATCTTATATATAATTTCAATAATTTGTTTATTTTGTTTGAGAATTTAAGACATTGTTCTATTAAAGTTTAATTAATAAATCGATATGTACCATGCAACGGAAGTAAATCGAATCATAACAATAATAATACTACAGCATTATTATGCGCCATCGATCTAGTAAACTATTCTGAGGCGCAGAGGGAGATGATTACCCTGGCATTAGCACGGCTGCCATTACGGCGCTCTAGCATTTTAAGGAATTAATTCCTGCCAGGTACCAATTTACATCACCTGGGTTGAATGTGGCAAATATACATCAACGTCTTGCCAAAGGACATTAGTGCCGCGGCGGGACTCGAACCGCGGACCTTGTGACCAATAGTCCGGTGACGTATCCACTCGACCACGACACCTCTACTAACATATCCCTGGATTAATATATTTTTTAAAACAGTGTACAACTTACGATGCGGCATATCCTGGGCACATACAGAGCCCTGTATCAGGCAGACACTTGGCTGTCGAGGAGCACTGACACCTCTCTTGGCAATTCCTACCGTAGGTCCCTCCTGGACATGTGCTGTCACAGAATGTGCCGATAAAACCGTTACGACATCTGCATACTCCATTGGACTTACAGGTACCACCATTCATGCACTCTCCACCACAGACATTGAGAAAGCCTGCTTGGGTCAACGCACCCAGGTACATATCTAAGGTAGTTAGAGAGTGAACAGTAAAATGAAAGTTAATCCTAGTTGGACAGGTCAAAGAGGCTGAGGTCTTTTGCCGAATATCAGCATTTCTGTATCTGTTAGCGATCGAGTGAAAATGAAATTTCATGACCAAATATCGTCCTAATAGATCATATATACAAAGAACAATACAAATAGTTCAAGACCTACATGTATACCAGAATTATATGAGGTGACGGCTGCCGAATATAAGGTTACGAATGAAGAATGCCCAATAAGACAATTTCACAATAATTATGATGCTTGAGGTGGGGCTGTGACCCGAAGCCTCCCCCCTCGTGCGTAAAATGATCACAATGTTACTAATAGGTTAATAATCAGCCTACGTCGTCTTCCAGACAAGTCTTTTTATCAGACCAAGGAGTTACAACAGTCAAGGGGTTCACCTTGATCAGATACAGCCTAGCTATACTCACTTGCAGGACTGGACACTCTGTTCCTTGGAAGCCTAGATCTGCACAGGCACTCTCCGGTATCTGCGTCACATTGGCAATCGGTCTTACAGTTACAGCGATGCTGGCATGTTGTACCCCAGTAGTTCCTCCTGCAGCGAGAGACACACCTGTGGTTTGGTAACAGAGGGCAGAAGAAAAGGAATTATGGTAGATTTTATACTGGAAGAATGGAGACGTGCGGACGAGACTTAATAATATCGGATCAATGGTGTAGCTTGGGCCAGGAGTTCGACAGGCAATTATGGTCTTATTAGTAGATAACACACGCGCAAGAACTACCCGACAATGTTGAGAGCGAGAGAGATAGAGAGAGAAAGAGATTAATCTTCCATATTCTCTTTTTCTCTCCGAGGAGAAGAGCCCGAGCCCTCTCCCGTATCTACGCCAAAAAATGGCAAGGGGACGCGGACAAATAAATAATGAAATGAAATGCCGTGGACAGGAACGAAAAAAAGTCTTTGTAATTGCCTTCTTTTGTAAATGATAAAAGAACTTTTCTTTTTCACATTAAGGCTTGTTAGAACAAGTATAATGGTTCAAAGAAAGCTTATTCATAATATTTAGGTATACGTACGAATACTTATATGTGATCTAGGTTTTTTAAAAACTATTATCTTGCAATAAATAGTATTGCGAAAAATGAAACTCAAGATGAAAATATTTTCTTTTTAAGCGTCGAATGTGAATCCAAACTGAAACATAACAAGCAAGACTAAAAGTGAACCATGACTTTTCAAATCTGAAACTATGATGATCATCTGAATCAATTACATGCAACACGACCTACCTGTCTCTATCTAGACATGAACACACCCCTGTCATGGGGTCACAGCCTGCCCCCTCGCCACATTTACACCTCCTTAAACAACCCTGTCCGTAATACCCCACAGCACACGGTATGAGACAGCTCAATCCTCTCCAACCGGGTTTACAATAACATCGACCGCCATCTCGTGTCACAACTCCTCCATTCCGACAGGGGTGCGCTGATGGAGGAAGAGAAAGGAAAATAACGTCCAAATCAACTTAGTGCAGAAAGTTCGCTGTTTTTTAATATTTTCACCAAAGCGCCTGGAGCTGCTAATTCCTCCTTGACATATACACTCTCACTACTTGGGTAAAATATTAACCTGACCCATCAATAGGTAAATGTTACTCCCAAACTTGGATACATTTTAGCCAATATTACGAATATACGATCTTACCCCACATACATACCGGTTCCCACAGTACCCAATACTGAATGAAATTACCTAAATGTTTTTTTAGTGTAATGATTTCCTTGCAAATCATGGCATTTCTTCGAAATTCCTGCAGTTATATCTTTAAAAAAGCTTAGGGGCCCCTGGCGACTTACCCAGTCTACAGGGAGTGTTCGGGTAGAGCAGAGAGCAACACTCGCGGTACATTCGCCAATCGTTACTCAGGTAAACCGTTTCATTCCTGTTAAGAAGAGAACAAATACAAGAAAAGTTCGATTTAAAGGAGAAAGAAACCAAGCAAACATTAAATCATAATATTATTTGAATAATTCCAGCTAAAAATATATCTAGAAATTACTTGTATTTGATTATTCGGTCATTAAAACAATAACTCCAACGTTGGCAGTTTCCTCGCTAGTCATTCTCCAATAGGAGTCGTCATTTTGATTGAAATAGTGATGTCAGAGTAGTACAACTTGCGAGGTACCAACCGTTACCCAATGGTTACACCTATGGAGATCAATAAACAACTAGGTGATTTGATCTCTTCTTAATTCATATTACAGTACATGTATTCGTCAAGCATGAGATAGTATTGACAAATGAAAACAAAAATGTATGACTTGTTATATTCCACATGCTAAGAATCTTGCTCTACGATTGGTCAAAAGTAAATCACGTGATGAAATATAGTTCGCCCATTATTAATGGGAGAAGCAAAAAGTTCGTTACACTGTGTAGATAGTACTACTATCTACACAGTGCAATGCACTTTCACTGAAGATAGAGGTACTATCTACACAGGGCAACGCACTTTCACTGCCAAGATTATCCAAAAGCGCACTAAAACAGGCGTAATTAAGCGCGCATTACCAATGAGCGCAATTAAAGCAAACACATGCGTGCATCGTACCCTCAAGGGGTTGGGTTAAACTTTTAACTGTTTTGGTGTGAATTTGGGCCTGGTGTCTTTTATGTAGATGCATACACGTCCTTTTCTTTTTGAAGTTAAATTGTTTTAGATGTGGAATATAAAGCAAATAATCACCTTTTGGTTTCAGGCGAAGGCAAACTATCACTTCCTCGTCGATCAGAATGTATACGCTATCTTTCCTCAGCTTCGCTTCGGAAAGATAGCTACATCCAGATCGCCTCGGAAGTGATAGTTTGTCCTATCACCTTCACCAACGGTAATTATTTGCTTAATATATAACTTTGATAGCTCATGATAAAGTATTGAGATGATAAAAGTATGGAATACAAATATTTCAGTTATCGACGATCTTTTTCATGTAAGTTCAAGTAGACTCATAAATTATACTATTATATAGATCTTATGGATATTTTTATCGCATCATAAGCTTGCCCTTGTTTACATTTCAGTGTTTACATATTGTTGTTTATTTATCTAAGTTTGTCAGATCATCATGATGCCCCCCAAAAAACTAAGATTGATCAAGCATGGTTTGTGTATATACATTCCAGAGTGAAATCGCGTTTTTCATAATCGTACTTCGTGCTAATCGTGCATGTATTATTAGATTGAAGGTCCTCGCACTCGCAAAATACCAATTGATTAATAAAAATAGATCGTAGTTCTCAACACGGCTATCAGCTCTCCGACAGCCGATCCTTTAATTGATCGCCTGTAATTACATGCTCTCCTAGCTGCATAAACCCGTCTTAATAAACCCTCTCCATTTCTGTCAAATCACCGTTACCAGTGAAGTCTAGACGTAGACTCTAGGAATAAACCGCACAGGTGTGTACAAATCCTTATCGTAACCTACCCCACGCAGTCTCAACCAATTGAGTGGGAGTCAACTTGAAAACAAAAATACTCCAATCGGAAACCAGGGCTGACAAATTTATCACATCTTCTTTGCTGCAATATAACACCTTTGCTGTCTGATTGGTATTTCCGTTATGTGTAAATTAATATGCAGATACTAGAGAGTAACTATTGATATAAGTCCACTTTTGAAGAACTCGAGAATTCTTTTCCTGGCGTTTTCCTTTGATTGACAGTGACACTTGTTTTGATGCTGAATAAGCATTGCGGTTGATCGTCTGAAGACATTGTTGTTATCAGACTTCTATGGTCAGATAAAAATGGGAAAAGTAGCAAATTATCAATTAAAATATCATCTTGAAAGAAGAAAGGGAAAGGAAATGGCTTCAACTTTCTGTTTATATCTTTTTATCGAAAGGCTACCTGTCTATCCCATCCCTGATATTGCTGACCACAATGAGTTCAACAGAAGTAGCCGAACTCATTGGGTCTTCTGGACATAAAGTCATTCAACTGTTATAATAGAGGTGTCGTGGTCGAGTGGATACGTCACCGGACTGTCGATCACAAGGTCCGCGGTTCGAATTCCGCCGGGGCATTAATGTCCATTGGCAAATTCATTGATCTACATTTGCCACACTCAACCCAGGTGATGTGACTGGGTACCTGGCAGGAATTAATTCCTTGAAATGCTAGAGCGCCGTAATGGCAACCGTGCTAGAGCCATGGAAATAATCTCCCTCTGCGCCTCAAAATAGTTTACTAGAAAGATGGCGCATAATAAATGCTGTATTATTATACCGACAATGGCCATGTAGGCTCAGAAACTACATTAATTTATCTCACCACTTTAACCAATTACCTACGGAACAAAATTATACCTGTGGGAATGAGAGCATTCAGTATTCGATGGGTTAATATGTCATATTAATGATGAAGAATAACGTTCTCATTTGACCCCTCATTGTGTCCCTTTTGCAGCCAACATCAGATTCCGTAGAACTTTGCAGGAATTATGAATATGTCATGTATGTCCTATCTGTGGAATTTAAACATTAGCAGTGTTCTAGTATTCAAATTATGCAAGAAAATCCGTTTACCTTCTATTCTTTACTGCCAGACACTATTGAGTGACTGACTGACTGACGTCTTTTTTTCTTTGGTGCTATCATACATTAAATGAGCTGTAACAGGTACATGAGCATTTGTTTACATCAATAACTCCCTACTTTTAATTGCCAATATTAAACAGATTGAATCTTTGTGCAGCACAAAACGTACGACCATTCGGTAAAAGGGTCTGAACATCAGACTATTACTTAAGTGATTGCAATCACTTACATGTAAGTCGATTTGACAATAAATAGTCGTTATTTTCCCACTAAAAGCTATTTTCAAGCCCTTTCGTTTTGAGAGAAGTTCTAAATTAGTATTGTCTTTCAAATGCCGTTGGAATTTATCCTTTTCACTTTTTTGGCCTGTAAATGGGACATAGTACCTTTAACCCTAATAAGGCCGGGCTATTTGAAGTCTTACTACGGCCGGGGGGCCATTATGGCCCCCCCCCCTAAGATCTCGGCCGTGAAACGGCCGATCTCCGCGAAAATTTGCACACATGTCAAGTGAAGTGTATAGAACAATATGATAATTTCAATTTTTTGAAAAAAATCCCTCATTTGCATATTTATGGTAATTTATGCAAATAACGTCATAAAATCATATTTTTACCCATAAATCCTATATTATTCATATTTAAGCATTCTTTTTCACTACATATATTCATTAGACCATTTGGAACAATAATACGACAAAAAAAATTGGAAGAGCCAGCTTATTCCTTATGTTATCTCTTGTTTTTATAATTTCTTATGTATTTCATTGTTTTTTTTAATTATTTTTGTTATTTTTTTTTTTTTTTTTTCATTTCTTCCTACAATTCAACTATTTTGACTCCCAAAACAACCACCTTAACTTTAAACAAGACCCAATAACCAATGTTTGATCTATTTTTAGGAAAAATGACATTTCCATATGTTTTGTACACAAATCACAAAAATGAGCGATTTTCGGGCTGACATGCAAAGACAAAAGGTCACGTGACCTTGTAACTATAGGTCCGATTTTTTTTTTTTTTTTTTAAAGATGCGCAAGACTCTAAAGAAAAAAGTCACCGAGCGGCGAGGCGCCATCCATATGCGTTCTCGAACAATCAGAAAAATCGTGGAGGGGGGGGGGCCATAATGGCCCCCCCGGCCTTATTAGGGTTAAGTAATCCTGCAATCACCTCTTGCAACCAGCATGTAGCAGGCGTGCGGAAGATCCCCATCAAGACCTTGATCATCCAGGTGCGAAGCGGGTTTAGGTCAAGGAGGGGCCACTGACGTCATGGCAAAGGAGAAGGTCTGTCTTACCAAGGAGATCTCTTTGGTCTTATCAAGGTAAAATGTATGAGAGTGTTTGGGAGAGGTCGTATTCTTTTGTTTTCACGTTGCCTCCCCGTCACTTTCTTTCCCTGTATTTGGAGGGATGGGTGTCATTCGATTGGGGACATGTGCCCCCACCCCCTGTTCCTGCATGTCTCCTCATATCCAAACCACCAGGAGGATATAGGCACACTGGGTCTCACCGAGGCGAATGACCCACTCGAAGATGGGATAGTTGTCAAAGGATTCACTGGGTGGTTGTGAAGACGCAAAGAAACTGAAAACAACCTCGCTTAGAATTTCCGACTTATAAACACATGGCTTAACGACATACACCATGCAGGATCTATCTGACCCGTCCCCTGGTTAGATAGGAGTGATATAATACAAAGAGGAACTGCAGAATCGAAAGTGTATGAAAAATATGTTAAAGGTATCAAACTACAGATGGTTATCTTTAAAAGGTGAGGACATTGGGTCAACTGAATGGGGGACGGGGTCAAATAACCACTTGTGAAAAATCATGATCCTTTAGTAATCAATATCGATTGGAAGTCATTGATTACAATGACGCGGGAAAAGAGATGAAAACATAGGCAACATGAACACAATGAGGAAGTTTACTATGCTAGTAAAATCACACCTTCAACCTATAAAAGTTTGAAATACTTTATTCATCGTAGATTAAGCTCTTTAATGAAATCCAAGCAAGAAGCAGATCTTTGTTTTATTTCTTATAAATCGGTTGAAAGTAATAGAATATTAAGTGGTATTATAGTAATAAAAGTAGTAGACGTATCAGTGGTTAAGGTAGGCACGTGTAGCAGTATAGCGGTACTGGTACGGTCATGGTAGCATGTATCAACAGCAGCATCATAGTATATATATATAGCAGCAACATAAAAAGCATTCGTAGAGGTAGTTAGGTATAGATGAGAGTATGAAGACGAAGACGGGGATGAAGAACAAAGAGAAGTTGAAAAAGAAGAAGAAGAAGAAAAAGAAGAAGATGTAGAAAAAGCAGAA